ACAAACTTCAAAACGCTACAGAATATTTACTACTCAATATTAATAAGATATTTTTTTACTAAAATTTTTCTTAAATTCTACTCTACAAAATAGCTATCTTAGATTTTTTTTTTACATTTTATTTAAAATTTAAAAATAATTAATATTTTTAATAAAATGTAAAAAAATTAATTATTGAGATATAGCTATAGACCTAACGTATAACTATTATTTAAAAAAAAAATCAGCTAAAAATATTAACTGGATCAAAAGTTATTTAAGTTGTCAGTGAGTGGTGGGCCACCCTGTATAACAAATTCACATAAAAGCTTATAAATTTGTTACAATTTTGTGACTCAATTATATATGCAGTGATCCACGAAGTTCTGACATATTTTATAAGGTTTGATCCATTTATTCTATTTTTTTCATTGCCTTATTTTAAAAAAATTGCTATGATTTTGGTTTTTAAATATAATAAGTAATATTTTTAATTTATTAAAAAAATAAAATTTTTAAGCATTTATGAAATATATTAAAAAGAAAATTCAAAATAACCATTTAGTAGAGTAGTTTTATTAAAAAAAAAAATGGTAGCAAAATGATTATTTAAAGATATGTAGTTAAATTCTTAAAGCATTTTAAAATTTGAATATTTACATAATTATTTTATTATTTTACGGTATTAAAAATAGATATATCCTAGTTAGAAAAGGATAAAAGTAAAGCACACATATTTTAAAATATTTCATACATTTTTTTTTTTTTAAATTGAGTTGTTACTGTAAGTAAGTGATAAATATATTGTAAATGACAAATTTTACAGATTTTTTGCTATTTAATATAGTTTGGATCACATTTAGAATTAGCCACTATAAATAAATTTTCATATGTTACATTGATTAATTATTATTAGTTATGATTACACATATATATACACATAGACAACATTTATTCAAAAATAAATAAATAATTTCAGAAATAATTAAAAATCAAGTCTTTCTAAGAATAATACTACAAATATTTAGACAATAATAGAAACATTGAAAGAGGATACTCTGTACACAAAAATTAATTTTGAGTATGTTAAAAGTACAATGATAACACTTATATTATAAAATTCACAACATATAATCAATAATAATTTACTAACATAAAAAAGTTGAAATATTAAAAATTACTTTAACTATTACATTAAAAAAACTCCGAAATATGTATGGTTGTCATTAACTTTTCTAAAATAGGATTTAAAATTGATAAATATGTTTAAATGTTAACATTTGATACTATTGTTAGAGAGTTGTAGAGCATTGATGGAGTTCATTAGATCTAAACTCTGGAAAAAAAAATTTAACCTTTATTACAATTTTGTAAAAAATTTAGAATAATATCTTTATAAAATTACAATTTCTTCTTCTACATCTACTTCTTCATCATCATCATATTCATAGTCATTTACTTCAAATGCTAATTGTCCTGCATAGCTTTCTACATTGGGATCTACTTTATCAACAAGGCACTCAATGAGTGTAGCTCTATTGAGAGCTACAGCAAAATGTAAAGCAGTATATCCACTCTTATAGTCCTATAAAATATCAACATTTAATTATAAATTTTATAAACAAATTAAATATTTTAAAATTTGACATGGATTCAATTGAAAATACTGTTCAATACTTGATGACTTATTTTAAAAATCTGATAATATTAATTAATATAAAATATTAGGATGTTGGCTTTCAAATGTTTTAAAATTGATAGTACTTCCTTAAGACTCAAACCATATTCTTATACATTTACAAAGTGGAACAGATCTAACTGGCAACTCTATTTCACTATAACTACCCTACTATATTAAAAAATAATAATTGAAATCAAAATCTATTATTTAAGTTTCTAGAGTTTTTATTAAGTTAGTTAAAATTTTGTATTTTTTTATAATTATTTTATTATATATGTTATAATGATTTGGAAATAAAGATAAAAGAAGAAGTAATCAAACATTTCATACTACCTTGATAACAAATATTTTGTAATTTTATTCCAACACAAATAGTAGAATTTAAAAATAATTTACTAAACTCTACGGTAAAATTATTAATGTATAAAAATTTTGAAAAATTATAATTAATAATAAATAATTATTGACACAAAAAGAATTAAATCAAATTGATTATTATTAATTTGTACTGTATAAAATTTACTTATTTAGTAATTACAGTTAATATATTAACATAGTAAGATATTCTTTAGAGAAAGTAGACCAATGATTGATATTATAGAAAAATTATAATAAAATCCAAATTTTAATAATGTTAAACTGTAGAAATGTAAAAAAACTACTAAACTAAAAGAATATATTTTGTTATTAAATTATTTCCAAATACCAGTTAATACTAGTAGATCAAAAGTTATTAGTCATCAGTTAGATAATTTCTAACCTACAGTCTTTATTTTTTTCTACTATATTTTTTCTTCAACTTACAGTGACATTGACATTTCGAGCATTATTAACAACAAACTTAACTACATTTTGATGGTTGGCAATCGTAGCTATGTGAATACAAGCTAAACCTAAAAGTGTTTAATTAAAATTAATAATGATAAAATACAATGGAGGACTTAATATCAATAGCGTGCTATATGTCTAATAATTGATTTGAAGAAATTTATTATTTTTTAAATCTCAAGAAAATTGTAAAAATAAATGTTGATAAAAATGTAAGACCATTTAATATTTTAAACCTATCACTACTATCAAAAAAATAAAAATAACATTTTTATTTTACCCTAAAACATATAGCACTTTTACATGATAATGGGGCATTTAGAATATTTTTTTGGTATTAATTCAATTTTTTATTTTATAGTTAATTTAATTTCAAATTATTCTAAAGAACTATACTTTCAATTATCGCATATAATTAATTAATAGTATTTCCTTTTTTAATTAAAATGTTTATAAAACATATATTATTTACCATCATAATTTACAGCATCTAACATTTTTGGTAGCAGCACATAATTAGATAAAATTCGCAGGATATCCAATTTTCCAATGTAACAAGCTAAATGTACAGCTGTATTTCCGCTACAATCTATAATTTCAGCATTGGCTCCAGCTTTTAATAAATAGTTAACTAATTCACATTGATTGGTCAAAACAGCTAGATGAAGGGCAGTCTAAAAAGTAAACATATTATAAATAAGTATATACATAAATATAGAAAGCGAGTGGTTCTCAATATTTTAACAAATTTAATAACCTTAGATTTACTAATTATTATGTGTATTTTAAAATAATATTTACAGTTTTGAAATATGAAAAAATTATATTTTTTAATTTATTATTTATAAAATAAATAATTTTTTTCCAAAATTTCAAAATATATCTCAAGTAATATATTTTAGAGCTTTTCTTAAAAAAACTTGTATTAATAAATAATAATTTTAGGTTAAGTTACAAACATTTCAATACCTCGATTGACAATGTAGCACTAGTGGGTACAGCTTGTATTGGTGTACATTTATTATGCATATTCAATCTCTACTACATTTTTTTATTAAAAACAATAAAATATATGATTTTAACATAGTGTAAAACTAAAAAATTTATTATAAAAAAAAGGTAACACATAATATTTAGTAAATCAAAAACTATCAGATTTGTCAAAAAATTGTAGACCATTATGTTATATATTCAAAGTGAGTTATTTATCATACATTACATATTTAAAAATAAAAATAATAATGAAAATCATTTTATTTGGTTTTTTTTAGGTAATATTTTTTTCAATTTATCAATCATAAAGTATTTTTTATGTTCATCTCTTATAACTTATAAGTACAGAACTTTATTTTTTTTTATGACAACATATATATTCACTAGTTTATTAAATAAATAATGATCTAATTGCATAAATGACTGGTTGATGAGCCAAAAATATACTAAATAATAAATATATCAAGAACATGTAACAGAAAAATGAAAACAATATAATTCTCAAAATTATAATTATATTAGGATTAATTAAATGGTTGGGTTTAACTTATTTTAGCTAAATTTATTAATGTTTAAGTTTAAGAAAATTTTATTGAGAGATAGACATAAAAATTTTCAGTTTTTTTTTTTTTAATAATGCAATTAAAATAAACTTACTTGTCCAATATCATTGCGTATATTCAGATACTTAGAATCTTGACACATATCAATTAGCATTATTGAAGCTTCTACATATCCATTAAGTATAGTTAAATGAAGTTGCCTGTAAATAAATTTTAATTTATTTCTAACTAAAAATAATTTTAAATAAAATATATACAAATTTAAAAAAAATGACCTAAAAGGAATATGTTATTTTTTTGTTATACAAGGTAAGTCATGAAGATATGACAAATCCAATTATATTTTTGTGGAAATTTTGTTTATAAATAATTATTGCCTTCTTAAACTAATTTAAAGAATATTTTTTTCAAAATTTTCGAAATAGTCTTTTACTTATAAAACATGTTAATGGAGCAATAACAATGTTTAGAAAAATATTCTATGAGTTACAAGCATTTTAATATACAGGGTGTTCAGTAAGTCAGGAAACGGGTTTCTATTGTTCTCATTGTTACAAATAATGAGAACAATATAAACCCGTTTCCTGACTTACTGAACACCCTGTATATTGTATACATGGAACATAGGCCAGTATACACAATCTAGAACGGGCTACACCCACCTCCATTCTATGTATTAATATGTTTGTACTTAAAAGAATACTCGTCTTAAAATTATTATTGATTTATTAACATTCTTTTTTTAAAAGCTAATTAATGCTTATTTCAAAAATAAAAAATTAAGTTTGTATTTTTTTTTTTCAATTTTATATTAATGATACTTAAAATAATTAGAAAGTTTAATGACAAATAATAAAATATTATTTAAAGATAGTCTAAGAAGATAATATTAAAAAAAAAACATTATCAAAAATGGTAATTGTACAAAAAGTTATTGGATTCATCTATTTTCATCACTCTTTCTTTAGATACAGACTGTTTCTATAAACACTAGGCATTCAATTTTTCTTAAAATAATGTTTTAGCATCGATGCGAAGTTGAGGAGGTATTTTTTTATGTAAATTCTTTTTTGGTTTTTGTTAGTTACATATATATAACCATTTATCTGTTATTAAATATTTTTTATATTCAACCTTTATACCTTATAGTAATGTTAACTTAGTTTTTTTAAACGGCAACAGACATATTTAATTAGTTTATTTAATAGATAATGTTGTAATTATTAAGAAACGACTAACAACTTCAGGATTAGTATTTAAGAAGTTTAACAATTTAAAATAATCACTGATGGTGAGGAGTGGTTGCTACTTTTTTTAATCTCATTTTTGACCACACTCCTCCTCCCTCCTAAGAATAAAAATATTAATAACTTCTGAAATAATAATACAAAAGTTGTTATCGGCTAGTCATATGTCTCATTAATTGGTCATTTACTTAGCATATAACTAACAGATAATTGATAATCAAGTTTCATTTAATTCAATAGAACATTTCATATATATAGTCAAAATATCAAAAATTTCTAATGAAAGGTTATAACAAAAAAATGATTAATGTGAATGAAATTTAAAAATATTCAAAAAATTGAAAATTAAAAAGTATTTTAAATAAATTTTGAAAAACTTTAATCTAAAGCCATAAACATATTTTTAACAGATTATTAAATATAATAGGAATTTTAATCAACCATCGATTAATAATTATTGATTATTGATTATTAAAAAGGCCTAAAAGACACAGAATATGTTTAAATATTTTAATTTAATTATAGAAATCAAATTAATTTAATTTATCTAACTAAAATAATATTTTATGATTTATGTAAATATTAAAATGTAATTCAGACTACAGTGGGTCATTCAAAAGTTATTTTAATTTTTTAATGTTACTTAAGATTTGATAAACTTTTATACATAATATAATTGCTTAATTGAAAAAAAACCTAATAATTCAATTATCTTAAAAAATATAGTACATTCACCACTTATATAAATATTATTATCATTAAAGCATACATACGTTTCTCCATCATCATTAGGTTCAAAATGTGATAGCCAATTAAAATTATTATTAGGTGATTTCAAATTAATTTTCTTATCAATATCTAATTCACTTAAGCAATCTGATTCTCCAATATCTAATCCACTATCCAATGTAATATTATTTGTAACATATTTATTAGAAGTGTCATTTTTTGATTCATATTCATCAATATTTTCTTTAGAAATCATATCACACGATAGATTAGCATCAGACAAAAATCCAGAATCCATTTTAACATTTATGACATCTTTAGATGTTACATTGGTCTTGAGAGTTTGCATTTTTTCACGTTTGCCTGAAAGTTCCATTTTTAACTTGTCTGCATTACTTTTTGACCACATTCTTTAAATTTATACTATTATAATTATAAAGAACTGATAAAAATCCAGGCTTATGAGTGAAGAAGAAAAACGTATCAGCAATCAGTGAATGAAAGTGATATTATGCAACATAGTTAATTTAATACAAAATAATCACAGTACTGTAGCTGTTAACTTTTGAGCACAATACAAAATTAGACTAGATTAAAATTTGGTAAAACAAACTACAAGTACTATAATACAGTGCACATTTCAAAAATAATATTTAACGAATAATTGAACCTAGTTTCTAATTTACGTAAAATACATTATGCACGCACACGAAATTTCCGAAACAGTAACTGAGCATTCGTTGTTTGATACCAGTCACTACTCAGTATTCACTACAGTACGCTAGTATATGGTATCATAATGTATTTGTTTCTGAAAAGTAGGTAGGAATTATTTAGTGTACAACTAGTATACATTTTGATCGGACGATCACTTTAGTGGGAGAAGTAGTATTAGTGAAGGGTTTTTTTTATAATAGTTTTCATATTAAATGTTTTCTAGTTGGAAATATAGATTTCTGTTGTTGCAGCAGAGCCACCATTAAAATACCTACGCATATTGTTTTTAAATGAAATAATAGTGTTTAGTAAGATAAATAATACTAAGAGGAAATTTTGCAATAACTTATTATAACCAGGGACTTATCAGTAGCAAAATTTTTATTTTTGAAAAAGAACAAAAATAATATTTATGAAATATAAAAAAAAAACAAATTTTGTTCACGATTTATTATCATTATGTACTCACTCACTATACCTAACAATTTATTGAATTTAACTTACAAAATATTTTATATACAATTTTTACTTTAGGATAAATAAATCTTTGTAGCATTTTATTTTAATTAACAATTTAAATACTTTATCAATTTTAACATTATTAATAAGTTAGTCGTAGTTTTTATAACAACTAGAAAGAATTACTATTAATATATTATTGACAACCTAGTATTTCTTATTAACTTTATTTTTTAAGAGCTTCTAATTAATTTAATGGCACACTTTTTTCGAGTACACATATCCTTCAGATCCACGCAGTTAGCTTTGTCCAAAAATAAAAATTGAAACAAACGGTAAATTAAAACAATTTTATTTTTGATTACTTTTAAACATTAAATTTTTTTGATTTAAATATGGCTGAATCAAAAGTTCAATTTTAAAATATTGAAATATACGTATAAGATCCTCTGCAATCGTGATAATTGTGAAACTAAAACGTATGATTTGAATTTTTCCTTTTTTTTGTATTTACAAAGGTCAATAAGACTAATTACATTATTAAAATCATGTTCCGTATTTTATTATTTTGTAGTCGCATCATATAGAAGTTACATAACATATCTCTACAATCAAGGTCGTTAAAAAATTATTTGTCAATATATTTTTTTTATATTTTCCATAAAATATTTTAATGACGGGAAAATCCTAGTCTTTTACGAAGGAATGTATGTAAAAATATTTACGACTCATATTAAGATAAGTAACAACATTGTTATAAAAAAAAAAAATTATTTAACTATTCATCGTAGGTAAATATTCAAACGGTACAAATGTTTATACAATCAAGGATGAATAATTACTTAATAGATAAAATTAAAAAGCCAAACGCATATTGTCACGAATATGAAAGGGTTCTATAGCTATACTCACTTGTATTCTTTCTTGTAATTTAATAATACAATACTACAAAAGAAGGTAAGTAAATGAATAGAATTATTTTGATCATTAAATTTTAAAAAAAATTAGTTTATTATCGAAATCTAGATAACTATGAACGATCTTAACTTTGCATGAAATAATATATTAATAGATTTATTGTTTTTAAGCAAATTAGGCCAATTTCCTAATCGAATGTTATATTTAATTTATGTAATACTAGTTAATAAATAAAAAAAATTTTTAATATGGATAATAATTTTGAGTATAAAACGTTCTGAAAAATGATATTTAATGTGTTATATTTAATAATAAATGAGCATTAACGTCATAGGAAGTACTTATGAGGATGTATAAACAATAAAACAAAAATTAATCAAATAAAGTGAAAAAACATCTCCTATTTTATTAGGATAGGAGAGTGGGGGTTAAATTGGAATTTCCCATGCTAAATATTGTTTTATTAAAAATGATACACATTATCCATTCTCAATTTATATGGAGGTGAAAAATTGTAATTTTTCTAAAAATTTATCGACACTATTTGTATGTCAAAATATTTAATTTAATTTTTCTTTTTAAATTCTTGTTGGCTCATAGATGTAAATGGATTTTTCATTCCTTTATCATATATTCTACTATATTTTTAAGTAAAAAAATATGTACCCTTGAGTAGTGTTTGCACCAAAATTGTAGACATCATCTTCATTATATCGTTGTTTGGATAATAATTGGAACAGTTTAGAATTTTTTCTTAAAAAAACGTTTTTTCAGTTTATACTTTCAATGAATATCTATCCTGCAAATTGGTAAGTTAATTTAATTATTCGTGAATAATAACTGTATTCAACATAATTATCAATTGTACATTAATACAATATAATCACTTTTATAAGGAATATACGTTAATTTAACTGACAATAGTTTGGCATGTTTGGAAGTTCTAACTTGGAACCATAGGAAAAAAACGATGCATCCGATTTTGTGGAACAGAACACAAGTAAAAAACAAAATGAATGTCAAGTATCGTTTGCGATATTTTAGAACAAGTTACATTTTAACAGAATACACATAACAAGCATGTAATAATCGGGGAAAACCGTTGGTTTCAAACAGTGCTCATGTTGTCTGGCTCAAGCAATCATTACCATCGACATAGCTACGATATTTTACCGGCAGTAGTGGCAGTTGCTATGCATTGGGATTCCCCGTAACTGAGGTCACACACCTGTTAATGGAAGGAGACCTGCTCACGTATTATAGTACCTTATGCGTAATACACAGCATTACCTTCCTCTTCTCGCCATCGTTTATATTTCCTAGTAAAGTTTTTTACAACTTTCGTTAATAACTTACAAGCAACTGTTATAAAAACACAATAAGCACGTAACAATAGACAGTAAACCCAAACGCTCCTAACATTAAGTGTAGTTTATACACAACTAACTGACAAGAGTACCCAACAGAGTATTAATGAGCTGCGGGGACTAAGCTTATTCTACCTGGTCCGATTGGCTAAGGCCGTGTAAAGCTTTTAAAATTTTCCTAGGACCCGGATCGGACCTTTGAATGAGTTTTGAATTGAATTGAATTGAAAAAAATACTCATTTTTTTCATTCAAAGAGCCGGATTTTTTAAAATACTTTAAAGGCTGGTGCAAATTGTTTATAAGACACAAATGGCTTACAAAAAATTTAATATATAAATATTACAACTTCTAATTTATATAAGTTCGAATACATGTAGTACATTTTTATAATAATGGAATAACGAAAACTTTATAATTAATGAACAGATTGCACAAATATTCGTAAGGTTCGCAAGTTAGGTTGGCAATCTTAAAGAGCTACTTTTTTTTATCAATATAATGAATAACTATTATTATCATTATAAGACATAAGATAAAAAAAGATATAATCTTATGTGGTCAATATTGTAAGCACTTTATTTTTAATGTTTTTAAAATACATATTTAGTATTAATTTAATTTTGACAATTATCAAGAAATTATTATTTTTCGCTCTATGAGTAAATAGACCTGTACGTATTCATCATGAAATTTATATAGTTGTACGAACAGTCTAAATTTGATTCTAAAAAAAATATTTTTCAGTTACAAACTTTGCAAAAATATTTGATGAAAACATTTTTTATCCCATAATATTTTTATTATTACATTACGAACCACTCCACAGAAATATTGGAAATATTTAGTCCTGCCCTGAACCTTTTTAATATGACTCTGTCTTTGATATGTACTATTAATACATAATTAACAATGTTTTCACCTATAAATAATTTATCCATCTAAAATTTACATTTATTTGAATTTACGTCATTGTATAAATTATTAAAATTGATCATGACCTTAAACTGAGAAATAACGATAGTAAATGCTTATCAAACTACAAAATGTACTAAGTGATTTGAATTGTTTTTATTTCTTCCAGAATTCATTTTGTATACAAGTACTTATAAAGTTTAAAAAAATAAAGTACTTAGGATACACGCACGACATACTCGTCTTCTAAAATAATCATTAATGGATATTTTAACTTAAAGTTAATAAGTACATATTTAAGCACAATAAAAATAACAGCTTGTTACCTAATAAGTGACAAGTTGTTATTCATTTAAATTGTATTGTGTTTGTATTTTAACTATCTGGGATTCCCGAAATATATACTTAATTAAAAATAAATATATTACAATAGCAAATAACATTTATTTAAAATCTACCGAACAGGCTCTCAAATTATACAAATCAAAACTGGTATAAAACAATTTTAAATAAGATAAAAATGAATATATCTTACAATCCAAATTTCTAATTAGGTTGCTCCTCCTTTTCTTAATTTAAAAATTATGAGACACTAATTAATAATATTCGACTACTTACATAAAAGATAACTGTATATATATATAATTGTGTATTTAGAAGAAGTACAGGTAACGTGCACCCGCATTGCCAGAGCCATATTAATCAAGAATTGTAATAATGCATAATGATTTAATATTAATTGAAAACAATGTTCACTTTTGTTTGGTTATCGATGATAACATGTGTTTATTCAGAAAATATTAATACAATATTTAATACGTTATATTTAATATTTTTAAAGTATTTAATGTATAGAGAAATATACTAATATATTTTAATTAAAAATATATTAAAATATATTTATTTTAATATTTTTTAATTTTGTTCTGATGAAAAAAGTAATTTAAGTTATGTATCTTAATACGCAAAAAAGTTTTTTTGTGGCCCCCGTAATAAATTTTTAAATACGCCTATTTATACATACATACATATATATATATATAATGTACCAGTGATATAAACCGCCTTTTAAATGTATTTAGAACACCAAAAATTTCAAATTTTATATTGGTCTTATAAGACATTTTAGACGTTTTAAACTGTTAAGTCATATATCAAACAAGTTTTTTTTAACGTATTAATTATTGTCTTAGACTACGTTTAAAGCATTCTTTTATTATTTATCACTAATAAGAAAAAAGAAAATGTGGACGGAGTATGCGAACACTATCATGAGCTGCAGCCACCCTCACCACTCTATGTATTAAAATGCTCGTAATTTAATGAGAACTTAACTTAAAATTGTTATCGATCCATTAAAAGTTTTTGTAAGAAAAGAGTTAAAAAATGACTATTTTGGAATTTTAAAACTTTAAAAGCAATAATTATTTAAAATCAAAATGATAATTGTATCAAAAATTACAAGCGTTGTCAGTTAGATTTGAGATACGCTGTATAATAATAAAATGTAGGTCAAGTTTGTTATTATGATAATTATAATATTTATTTAACTAATTATGGAGCAGTATAATTATAGTTATTAGTATGTTATTAAACCTAGTTATTTAAGTTAACGCAATTCTCCAGTAGTTTTATGTACCAAATTGGTAGTAGGGTTTACGGCAATGATACAAATACATAATTGTTTTCAGCAATCATCAAATGTAATATAAGAAAGCCGCGTTTATTATTACATAATAACATCATAATTACTCTTCTAAATTGTAAATTGTTCTGTAATGAGATCAATTGTTATCTGTAGAAATACAGTCATGTAAAAACCCTTTGAAATCATTACACATGGTTACAGTATAGTCAGCATATTAGGTTATTATCGCATAACCTTAGTCAACAGAATATTCTATAAGAGTAAAACAAATACAAATAAATGTAAAATCAAAAGTGTAAAGCATTGCTGTCATAACATTAGGAACATTGTCTATTTGAAAGAGAAAGAGTGACAAATATGCTTTGGGTATTTCCAAACGCAGAGAAAGCGAACTAAGAAGAAATTAATTACTTGCTCCTAGAAATTCTTTTTTAAGGCGAATGACATTAAATATAATAACAGCTTTGGTTTTCCTGCTTTGATGTAAAATAATATGTGATAAGACATATGCGGCTATATATCGAAAATATTAATATGCTTGATCTCAATAAGTAACTATAGTGACATTGGTTCAAATTAGTAGTCAACACATTACATGGCATGCTATTGCAATTATATAGATGACACTTAACATTTAAGTTGTCCTTTAGATAATGTCCTCTACAAAGTATCTATTAAGTATGAATTTTTATTTAAGTGATTATCGCTCAAAAGACTACGAGTAGAAAAAGTGCAATTTATTTTTTAATTTTATCTTACATTTTTTAGTATAGAAAATAGAACAAATATTTATAGTAATCTATTGGATAGCTGAAAATAATAACTAAAATGTAAAGCATATAGGCTATATTTAGAAGGGCTGGTGGTTTAACAACCAGAAATTCTAAAATTATTTTTATTAATTTAATCATGTTTAACGTCCTTTCCAAAAGCTATTGCTTGGTCAGAGAATCTCTTATTTAGCCCAGCGCAACGGGAATCGAAAACCGGTACGTACACACTGATGCACGACGCGTTAATAACTGAGCTAAGAAAGCTAAGCTTTTAAGAAAACATTGTTGAACTATAACATACTTAGAAAAATAAATAGGAACTTCTATTTTTCCATGTACGATTCTTTTACATTTAATTATGTATGTAATTAATCATAGTAAATATTTTTCTTCATTATGAAATTGGAATTCTGTTAGTTAAAAAAAACTATTTTTGTCAAAATTATAGTAATTTGATTTTTTGGTATTTACGTTGAATATTAATCTGATCTAGGAAAAGCCCATATGATTGTTTCAAAGAATCGCTCATTTATACTAAATTTTTGTGATGATTTTATAAGTTCTAAGAACTGAATCACTGTGGCTGTAATTGGCGCTTTATGATACATAAAATATGTATAATATTTAGGTGGGACGCTTGATGTTTACATTTTATTCGGCAAAAATTATAGCATCACGACGTGATATACAGGAAACGATCATCGTTTCCTGTATGTTATTTTGTGGTCTCTAGTGTGTTTAGCCACCAGCAGATACTTTTGAATTTCGCTCATGGACAGTGACGTGAACACTATGTAATTCTTAAATAAAATTGAATGGAGTCTAAGATGAATCATGTATGTCGCACATTCCGAGCCATATACCTTCTCCTTCTCTTAGTTTATATTGTATCATAGTAAAAAACACATGGTTGCACTATAAACAGAAGAGTAACCTTGACATTTCATAAATGTTAACCATTATAGTATGTTCAGAAAGTTTTTAATAACAATTTCATAAGTGTATTTTAAAACTTAAAAACTTTTCAAGCTTGCTGAAATTTAGAAGATTACATTAATCTTTTGAGATTGAAAAATATTTTTATCTTGCTCCTTAATTTTTGGTTATATTTACTAAATACATAATATTTTAATTATAATAATAAAAAAAAAAATTGAGGTGGAAATCATAATTGAAACTAGATTAGATTGAGATCTGACAATAAATAATATTACTATTATAAAACGTTTCAGCCTGAATGCATGTAGGTAATTGGACTCTTCGTACTTTGACTAGTGTTTAGCAATTTAAACAGAAATATAAATTATTTTTTTAAAAAAGGTCATAGTTCTAAGTCCAGGTTAAAACTTGTTAATTATGCACCTGAACTATACACATTATTTAAACATGGCCGTATCTACAATATTTTTTTGGTAAAAGTCCAAAATATGTTGGGTTAGGTTTCTATATATTTAAAAAAAATTTAGGGTGGTGGCGGTCTATACCATAACTCCCCCCTGGATATGACGATGTATTTAAGGTCTATTCCTTTCTTTATCTGCACAAGTATAGGTCATAATAGTAACAAATTATTTTAAGGAGGAATCTAAATTTTTCTTAGGTATTTATTAACTGATATTTACAATATATTAGTTATAATATCAATCGCTATATAACTTTTAAAAATTAAATTATAATATTTATCAAAAAAAGAATTATAAAGGTAATTAAATTAATGTTATGGTAATCAATCATTTTAATTTCAATTTTAATAGTCATTAAGTATATAGTTTTTGTAGAATAAGAAAATATAAAATAATAAATAAACATAAAAATACATGTAACAATATAACACAAATGGCAATGTATAAAATATCACTATAAAAAATTTAATATTCATAAATAGTTTTATTATAACTGCCGAGATCCAGGTTTAGTTTTAATCACTCCAAAAGTAGACATTTTAATATCATTCAAGAAAGATTGTGAATTGTGTATTTTACTGCCACCCAAAATAACTCTAACATGTGGATTTGCCATATTTAATTGATGAATTGCCATGGATTCTTCATAAGTAACACCTCCAATTACAAATACAATAAGATCTTGCACTTTGCTAAAATAAAATTTTTTTTTAGTATAAATATTTATATAAATATTACAAACAATTTTCTAACTTTAAAGAAACACGTTTTATTATAAAAATTAATTTAATAGATATATATTAAACTATAAAAATTAATAATTTATTATTTTCTTTTTTGGATAAAATTATTGGTTAATTTATCTTATTTTAAATAAAAAATTGAAAATACTACATACTATTTTGTCATCTGATTAATATCACTTATAAATGGATAATGTTCTTCTTTTAACTTAGATTTAATCCAATCTTCTACAATGTCTTTTAACAATGGAACATATTGTGTAAAAATATTATCCACTCCTTTTAAATCCTGAAAAATTGAAATAACTTGAGAAATTATTTTGAAAACAAGAAATAATATTAAGTTAAGAAAATTTTTTAAATAAAAATTTGTCCTCATCAAGTTGTTTATCATCATTATTAGAAATTCTCTACTGTGTTTAATGGTATCATTTTCATTCCCATTAGTAAATTACTATAGTACTATTATTTAACTTTGATAAGTAACATTTATTATTAAGTAAAAATTTTCCAAATTATTGGTTAGCTAAAAAGTTACCACTTTTAACTTAACTACCTTCTCATAACAATTATTCATTAGAATATTTATATTATAATTGTTATTTATTTATTAGTTTTATAGTTTAATTTATATTTAGTGTGGGATATTTTTTTTGTTTTATTACATAAAAAATATACAAGTAAATAAACCAAAAATCTAAATTACACGCTATTTTTTAATTTTATTGAACCAACAAGACAGTTATATATGAGTACAAGTACAATACCTTATAAAATCGTTTTGTTATTTGTTTAGCACTTTCTAGAGTATTTTCTTTATCAATTAAGGTCTTGCTTTGGTATTTTAAAATATCAGTAACTAACTGAAAAATATTGATATTAAGTTAAATATTTTATTATTTTTATTTGTATTATTATTACTTCTAGCCAATGATCAGGAACTTTTTTAGACTTAAGTAGCTGTATGAGATTGGATAATTCTCTTTTGCTGTCTTTACTATTTGATTTTAAAGCATACAACATAATTAGTTTACTTGCTTCATCTTCTGGGATTCCCTTTTCAATAAGTTCTCTGATTTTCTAAAATTAAAGAATAAAAACATTTAATATTGAATAAAAATTAAAAACTGTATTAATTTAATCTAAGAATAAGTATATGCATTTTACAATTTATATATAATATTCTATTAATAATGTAACCAAATGCTTGAGTTAAAGAGAATAGGATAATCTATTCAGTTAGATGAAACAGAATCAAACATCAACATATGGACAATGATTCCAACTTAAGCCAACCAAGCCTTATAAGGTTTTTTTTTAAATCAAAGCTTTGGTATTTAGACTATAAGCATAATTATTTCAGTTTGAGCAATTGATGATTGTTTATCATAGTCATATGAATTTTCAATACAATTCTATTAACATTACCAATATAAACATATTTTACTAATTTTTTTAAATGTTGTATTTTATACTCAAAGGAGATTAATAACTAAAATTAGTACTTGTGCTTGCTGAGAAGTTTGAATGTTACAAGCAATTTGTTGTTGAAGTTCTGATACTTCAAGAAGATTTTTTTTTGACACATAATTTGAAAGTTGTTCCATTATAATAACATGTTTGGAGACAGTACCAGACATTTTCTAAAATAAAATAAAGTAGAATTCTTAGTTTTTTAGAATAATTTGCAATTTCAATTAGTTCTACAACTATGAGACGTATTTAAAAAGTAAGTTTCCCTGTGTTGGGAAAAATATAAAAAACTAGTTTTGGACTATACAAATAAATTTATTTTATTTTTCGACTCTTAAACTATTTTTCTACAGTCGCCTAGGTCTTTATTAGATTTTTGGTATCTGTTTGCAAGCTTAAATAAAGCTTCCTTAATAAAAGTTGTGCCTGATTTTTGGAGCTATAATTTGACGACCTTCTCAATTTGTTTGTTTGAAGTTAAGTGCTGACCACCTAAGCTTTCTTTCAACTTTTGGAAAATATTAGAGTCACTTGGTACGGGGTTAGAGGAGAGTAGTATGGGTGGAATTTCTGTATTAATGTTTGTATTTTTTTTGCAGAATGAGGCCAAACGTTGTCATGAAAAGTCGCAACTTTTTTTGACAATTTTTCAGGTTGTTTTCATTTGATAGTATTTCATGCACTTCTGTGTATCCCTTGAGAAAATCTGTGTGCTATCTTTGGATAATTTACACACTCATGCAGTAATTATCATAAATAGTCACTAATTCACTGTGAATCTGATTACCATTTAACCCTTTTGTAGAAAAAAAAAATGGATAAACACACATAATTCACAACCAAACACACTTTGCACTATTAATTTCATGATTGCCAAGTTCGTACTGCTGAGAAATGTATTTTTGGGCACTAAAACTAGTTCCAATTTTATCGGCAAACCTTAAACTAAAACTATGTTTGATGCGAGCCCACTAGGTGATGTCATAGAGAAATGCCAGACTAGAGAAACTTACTTTTTGAATACTCTTTGTATTTATTAACATTCAGAAGTTTTACATTTCATTAATTATACATATACATTTCATTAATTATCTAAATATAATATTAGTTTGTACTAATTAGAAAAACTAAATAAAACTATGATTTTCAGTGGTGTATGTGGGGACTTTAATTGTGTCACTTATTTCTAAGAATAAAAATCAGATAAATTGGGCATATAAATTATTGGTGATTTGTTTGCAAATATAAAACTAGTATGGTTAAATTACTTTAAACTGAGGATAATTTTCTACAAAAGCTTTCATGTCTGAAATTGTGTCAAGTTTTTGATGACTTTTTGCTTTTAATTTAAATTCATCAATTAAAGACTTCATTATTTCACCAATTTCTCCAAAATTTTTGTACAAGTTCTAGATAAGAGAAACTTATAAAAATTACATAATAAAATACTTTAATAAATAATGTAAAATATACTTGTTTATACAAATCATCTTGTTCAGCACATAACAATAGTTTTTGTAAATCAGGTTTGATATCTTCCACATGACTTAAATCAACTTGGTTGTTGTTAATGGTTAATAGTTCATGAACCATTGCTTGATATGTCCACTAAAAATCACATCTTAATTTACTTTAAAAGTTAAGTAATAAAAATGTATACATAATCTGAGATAAACCTAATGATAACGAAAAATGCAAAAATACATTTATTAAGAAATATACTTCATGATATATTAAATACACATATAAAATACAAGACTTTAAGTACTGTTTGAAAAAACATTATAAATTATTTAAGTATAAATATATAATGTAAATTACAGGCATTAGTAATGGTGTGACAGGATCTTCTCTACGATCAAGAATTAACATTTGTGGTTGAATATCTGTTTGCTTGAAATTAAATAAATTTTCTTCTTTGTAAAATACTTCCTACAAATAATAAAAAATATTACATCAGCCAATTTTTTATTTCTGTGATAGACTAATGATTAGTTTTTTAAGCTTTATACCTTGATTTTTTCAGATAATTGTTTGCACATTTTGGAAGATGCTTGAAATCTAATCAATGGACATTTTTTTAAAGACAGTAAAACTGAAATTATTCCTTGGGCACAACGTGTTAATTGAAGTGGGTCCCAAGAGAGACCTTATGGTAAAAATATATTTATAAAATAATAATTTAAATGAAATTGAATTCTGTAATTACATTGTCCACAAGAAGAAATATTGAAAGTATAAAGATGAGGAGAGACTGCTAAAAAATCAGCATAAAATTCTTGCACTTCACGGACAACTTCTTGAATATCACTTTCAGCAATTGTTTTTATGTCTGATTTTGATATTATATTACTGAAATCTTAAAATTATAAATTTTTAATCATACTATATAATCAAATAATGTAAAATAAAAAATAAAAAATTTTTACTTACGTATATAGTAATAACCATATCTTGGATTTCGTAACTCTTTACATAATAGTGAAACATTTTCCTTGGTTGGTCGTAAAAATGTTATGCACTTCATATGGTACATATTATCTGCACTATTGTTCAAGTCTAATTGTTCAAAAAGATACACTTCACGTTGCAATATTTCTGACTGGCTATATACTGCACTTACAATACTAGTCTAAAAATTAAAAAATTAATTTTATGATTGTTTTAAAAAAGAAAATTATGCAGTAATAATTACATTGACATCAAAACAGCAGATTACTATATTTTAGGGTACTTTAAAAAAAAAATATGAGACAATTGAAATTTTTTCTGATTAAAGAACATATTTGAAACATGGACTGTTATATGATTACTTTTAAAATCAAAAGGGGATTGTATAAATTAAATTATGAAAAAAGTTTATAATTGATAATTAATTAACCTAACATATTTTTAAGTTTATTTACATAAAAGTTGAAATAAAATAAAAAAATTCTGAATTCTATAGATTCTTTCAATTGAAAAAAAGTGGTAAAATTTGGTAGTCAAATAATACTTAATTTTGTATGATATATTAGTCAAAATTTTGGATAAGTGCTAGGCTTTCTACAGAATACTTTTTTTTCTAATACTAAGTGTAATAAGTTCTCACCGTTGTTTTATCCATTAGAAGAACTTTCATACCAGGACCACAATCTTCAGTCATTTTATTAATATACATTTTTATAGCTTGAATTAAATCCATGATTTTCAGTGAATGTTTAATAAGTTGAGTTGAATTACCGTAGATAAAAAGTTAATAGATAAGTGATTATATATTTAAATTGGCAATAATAAATAAATTTTAATTTTAAAAATTATTAGGAACTTCCTGTTTATAGTTTAAATAGTAATAACCAGATATATATTTTAAATTTGTAAATAATAAATCTCTTATATTTAATGGTTTGGCATCTAATGATTTTTTTTATCACAACACGTTATCAATCCTTATAATCACACTAAGTATTAAACACGTTATCACAGAAATTATTACAAGATGGGTTTCCTTACCGTAAACTCATACCACTGAGCGCTACTGCTTACGTGATTTAATTTTTCATCTGTGTCCCGCCAAAAATTATTTGTTTTTTTTGTTCTGCTTGTGACGTTAAATGATTCCTATCATTCTAATTTTTTTAATGTCTTGGCTCAAATCGCCTTAGAGTCAAAATAAAAAAGCTTACTTATCTATTATTTATTGATATTTATTGATTACGTTAAGTGTTAACAAAGTAGTTGACGTAGTATGTATTCTTTGACAGAATAATGAGTAGTTTCAAATTTTTGCAATTGTGACCTAAAAAGTTTTCATTATTGACGTTGATCGTTGATTTACATTAAAAACTTGACTTCAATAAAACGGGTAATAATTTCACTTTATTGAGTAAAATTACTTATTGTTTATTATCATTATAAAAAATATTTCTATTAATATTAATATATAATTTTAACTTTAGTAAAATGTACGTACAAGTAAGAATGATGGACACTGGCGTGTCAGTCACTATTCCCACCTCGAGAACAATGGTTGTTAAAGAATTTAAGAAACTTGTCGAAGAAAAATTAAAAGTTAAACCAGATTTGCAAAGATTATTTTTTGCGGGTAAACAGGTGAGAACATTTTTTACCAAATTGACAATTAAAAACAGGTTATTCATGATCTAGACTGTCAATAAATTTATGTATGGTATTTAATATTTTTGTATAACATTCACTTAATAAACTAATCCATCTCATTGGTGTTATTTTCTTTACAGTCATTTATTAATAAAAGCATGAGTTCTACTATATATTTCATAAACCATTTTATACATTTTAATATGTTTAAAAACTTTGTTTTTAAAAATATTTTGAAATATAGGTTATATATAGTACAATTGAAGAATTTTTTAGTAATACATAAAGTAATCTTAATGAATTACAAGTTATATTTAAGTATACATATTTTTTTATTTTTAAATATTTATTTATAAAAATATTTTTCTTGTACTTGTAAATAAAGTGATATAAATAATTATAGTTTGTTATAATTGTAGTTGGATGACCAATATAGATTGTTTGATTACAATATTAATATAAATGATGTTATTCAATTGATGAAGAAAGTAATTATTTCTGATAGTAGCTTAGTAAAAAAGTCTACAACTAAAATTAATAAGACAAAAAAAGAAAAAGCTACTACCAGTTCAACTTCTGATGTTAAGGTATATTAGTATATTTCAAGTCATTTGAGTTTTAAATATTTTGTTTAATATATTGTTTGATAAGTAGTTTAGTTTTAGTTATTAAAAAGGTGGACATAGACTGAAAAAATTTATGAGCACACCTTATACTGAGTTTTATGATAATTATTTATTCACCAAAGTATGTGTTTATTTAATAAGGTATTCAAGTTAGTTATTTAACTTTTATACCCAACAGTTAAAAATGCAACTACCTTAAGCTAGTTGATGATTCACTATAAAATGTTGTGGTATTAAATTAGTTAGTAAAATGTTAGTATTTAATTTTTTAAAGGATGAAATTAATGAAGATGCCTCTCATTTATCAAAATATTTTAAAATTGGTGATTATGTTGATATTAAAGATTATCATTATGGTTCATGGTTTTTAGCAAAGATAACTAAAATTAAAAAAGATAGATCACCAAATGATAAGCATAGTGATCCTAAAAGTCCAGTTCAAAATGATGGTTTGATTTATGTGGCAGAAATAGATGGGTTTGTATCAAGAAATAATATGAATAATTTAGTATAATTCTATAAATATAATATAAAAGAGTTATATTTAATAATACATTTTGTTTTCAAATTTTTTAAAGAACTATATGAACTACATAAAAGTTATTTCCTCTATAAAAAGTTGTTGAACATATGGAAAATTGGTTTTAAATTTTGTTGAGATTAACGTTATAGATTTAAGTTACAGAATTTTTTTTTATATATATGTTTATAAGAAATTCATCCTATGTAGCACAAAATTATTTAATAACCTGATAAATATAATAGTAACAAAGTTGATACTTAATCTTGGAAAGCATTGTTTCATATGAGAATAGCGAGTTTATTTTTCATTTAACAATTCTCATTTTTATTAATATCTTATAGTTAGTAATGAATTTTGATATTGTACAAGAAATTATATTATATATATTATTATAAATGTGACTCATTAAGTAATTGCATTAGTATTAATTATATTTGATATTTGTACATATTATATAACCTGAAATGGTAAAGATTTGTTACATAAATTTTTAGACCTTAAATAATGCTTACAGATTAAAATATTTTCAAAATTTGTTTCAGCTGTCCTGAGGAGCTACCAACAGAAGTTCAATTACAAGAAGTTCGACCATATGCTTATAAATATTTGCCATTTAGCGAGTTAAAACCTGGCGATCGAGTTCTTATGAATTACAATGTAGAATATCCTAAAGAACGAGGATATTGGTATGATGTATTAATTAAAGAAGTTAAAACTAATAGAAGAGGTCGAGAAGTCATTGGAGATGTTTCTGTGGGACTAGATAATGCTATTTTAAATAACTGTCATTTAATGTTTCTTGATGATATTTTTCAATTAGAAAAATATAAATTACTTTCTGAAAGAACTGTTGAAGATAATAAAATAATGCAAACTAAACCTACAACAGAAAGTAAATACTTTTTGGAATTTTTGTGTTATTTCACTGAACTCTTTATAATTTAATTTTAGGAGCAGGCGCATTATACTGTATAAAGTGCAAGGACAATGCTGATAAAATTTGTATGGACTGTGGATGCCGTGTTTGTGGTGGAAAAGAAAATGAAGATAAACAACTTATGTGTGATGAATGTAATCATCCATATCATATGACTTGTCTTGATCCACCATTAAAAGAATTGCCTCAAGATGATGATTGGTGAAATTTGTTTAAAATAACTATTGTTTTATTAAAAAATGATAAATGAATAATTAAATGATTTTTAGGTATTGTCCTTCGTGTAAAAATGATGAAAATGAAATTGTCAAAGCTGGTGACAAATTAAAAAGTTCTAAAAAGAAAAATACTCCTGCATCTACATCTACACGAGATTGGGGTAAAGGAATGGCTTGTGTTGGTAGAACAAAAAAGTGTAATATTGTGCCATCAAACCATTTTGGTCCCATTCCTGGAGTAGAAGTTGGTACTTCATGGTTATTTCGAGTACAAGTAAGTAATAATCAAAGATACCTTCTAAATTTATAAATAATGAATCTTCTGTATTAAGGTATCAGAAGCAGGAATACATCGACCTCCTGTTGGTGGAATCCATGGTCGTGATAATCAAGGTGCATTTAGTATTGTTTTAAGTGGTGGATATGAAGATGATGTTGATAATGGGGATGAATTTTTGTATACTGGTTCAGGGGGACGAGACTTATCTGGTAATAAACGAACAGCTTTACAAAGCTGTGATCAACAGTTGACTAGATACAATAGGTAAATTGAAAAGTGTTGAGAATCTTAGGGTAATTTAATTTATCATTATTTAAACAAGTTAATTTTTTTTTTCCAGAGCTTTAGCACTTAATTGTAATGCTAAAATTGACAACGAAAAAGGAGCTACAGCTGTTGATTGGAAAAAAGGAAAGCCTGTTCGAGTTGTAAGGAATTATAAGCTTAGTAAACATTCCAAATATGCTCCTGAAACTGGAAATAGGTAGATATAATATTTTTCATCTACTTCTAATGTGTATAGAAAATTTCTTGAAATCTCTTTAAAAATGTATACTAGTTAAAATAATTTTGGAATTTAATTTTTTTATATGTTGACACTAGTTTTTAATATGTTTTTAGATATGATGGTTTGTATAAAGTAGTAAAGTATTATCCTGAAGCTGGAATATCAGGTTTTACAGTTTGGCGATATGTGTTGAGACGAGATGATCCTGCTCCTGCTCCATGGACTGAAGCTGGAAAAAAACGCATAGCTCAACTTGGTCTTAAAACAATTGTATGATCAAATTAAAATTATTTTTATGACAGTGCAGTAATTTTTTTATTTGTAGCTTCCAGAAAATTATATACCAGTTGTTATTAATGAAGCAAAAAATAAGTTACCTGGGTCAAAGAGAAAAAGATCTTTAAAAGATAGTGAAGCAGAAGAGAATGAACAATTTGACAGTGTTTCTTTAAGTACACAAGATAGTGAAGATGATAAAGAATGCCCAGAAAAGAAAGTTAAAATACATTACGAACTTGAAAAAGAAGCTAGTAAACTAATTGATGCTGATAAATTGAATAAGAAATATTGGGATGATTGCAAAGAAATGATGATAAAAGGCAAAAAAGTATGTTATTATAATTATATTTTTTTTTGTCATAATATTTTAATATAATGTACAATATTGAAAAAAAAATATAAGAATAACTGAAAAATTGTTGTGCATTCTTTAGGGTTTTATTCTAATGACTAATTAAAAACTTAGCATGTTTAAGCCAATGGCATGTGTAATATTTTTTAAAGGGGGTGTCATATATATATATGTTTTGAAAATTTTCTCACAAACTAATAATATCCCTCCAGTTAAATAAAATCTAATTGATAAATAATAATAGTATTATTATTCTTACTAATAAGTCTGTTAACTAAGGTTAACTATCATAAGTAGAGGTATAAGTGAGAGGGAAAAGTTCCAATCCCCTTCTCTGTTAAAAAAATAATAGGATAGGGGTTATGTATTCAACATAAATAACCTATGCTTAGGCCTTTAATCAAAGTCAAATTGTTTTTAATAACATGGTAAGGCTATTTTGAAATGGCTTTTTAATGAACATTTTATTTAATGTATCTTTGATGTACAGACATATTTTTCAAATGTACATAGTTGATTTTTTATGTAGTTGATGTATTAATAATAATGTTTAAATTTACCATAATCAGAAAAATTAAGTTATAAAATTAAATAAAGTACCTGTTAAAGACAGGTTTTCATAACTCTTTAAATATGCCACTGCTTTAAGTATATATAATATTTAAATATCCAATAAAATATAACACATAATAATATCATTATAATATATATTCAATAAAATTATTCCAAAATATTTCAGTTATCATTATAAAAGATTTTATTACATGAAAGATAATTTTAAATGGTAAACACTAATAATTTTATTGGTTAGGCTTTCCTGGATAGAGTTGAAGAAACATTTCTATGTATTTGCTGTCAAGATATTGTTTTTGAACCTATTACAACTGATTGCTCCCACAATATTTGTAAAGTGAGTTATATATTGATTTTTTCTATTTCATTACATTGTCTACATTTAATTTTTTTTATAGGAATGTTTGAAGAGATCATTTAATGCTGAAGTATACCAATGCCCTTCATGTAGGTCTGAACTGGGAAAGAGCTATTCAATGACCATCAATAGTAATTTGGCTGAAATATTATTATATTTATTTCCAGGGTATAGTACGGGTCGTTAATATATTAATTTTAGATAAAAATAAACACGAATTACATCTCTTAATAGTCTTTTTTTTATCTGTACATAATAAAACAATAATTAATTATGCTGTTGAGAACTAGGTGTCAGCAGTAATGATATATGAAATTTTGATATTATTTTTTTATTGATACATTTTATAAAATGACTGTTAGATAATAGAAATTATCATAATTTTTCTTGTAGTAATTTTTGTACAATTGTAATTAGTTTTAAGTTAATTAATTTAGGAGTACTATTTTTTGTGTTATAAAACCAAAATATTCCTTTTTTTAAACAATTTTATTACTTATAAAATTTATCATTCGCATTGATTTAATTTTCTATTATTTTATGTAATTTATATACATTTATAAACTATCAAACAATTTTTGACATGGTGTACTATTTATTTCCATCTAAAGACTGATGAATTCGAAATTCGAAATTAAATGAATTTATAAATTATACATTTTTAAATAAAATATTGTAACTATTCAATTAAATAAATGCATTTCAATATGAATATTTAATTTAACATGAATTAATTTTTTATAGCAATCATTGTTAGATTTAAGTTAGTTGATATTTATATATTGAATGATTGATTTATTGAACTTATAAATTTCTTGTAAAATAACAATTTTGGAAAAAATTGTTTGATTTTTTTTAAGTAATTTATATATAGATTTTTGAGTGGTTAAATATTTTTTAGGTCTATCCTTTATCCCTTGTAGGGATACCAACTTAATATTTATATGGCAAAATAGATATTTAACTAGTTCATATAGTTGAAAATGACTAGCTGATAACAGTAGTGTATTCAATTTTTTTTTTGTGATGAACAAGAGCGTAATATTTCAACAGTTTTTTCCTTTTTTTTTTGCTCATTAAACATTTTTCTGCATTGTTAATCGTCTTACTGAGAATGTTGAAAAAAAATATATTTATTAAATCAAATTTTTTATTGATAACTAAAAAGATTTAAAAACTTTGCTTATTATTTCCAGGGGTGGTTAACATCCTAACTTTTTTAGATTCATAACACTTAATCTACTGATAAAAGTTATAGATTAGTTATTTTCTTAATTGGATCATTTTCTGTTATATGAACTTGTATGTATGTTGCTATTAAAAATATAGTCTGTACCGTATAAGGAATAGATAAAAAAAATACTTAACCACTCAAAAATCAAAAAAGTAATGCTACTTAAATAATTAATATATATATTCTAAATTGTTATTTTGAATTTTTTATATTATTATTATATAAATAATTATACAGTTCTTCAAGATTAAATTCATTTTAAAAAACTTGTTGCAAAAAAAAAATGTTTACAGAAATTTGCTTTATTAATTAATTTTTGTATAACACAATTTAATACTATTAAATCGAAATCAATATTTTGTTTACACATCAGATTTGTAATGTCATTGACATTTAAAATGTTATTTTAAAAAAAATCTTGTTAAGGTTTTTTCTTCAAAAACTGTACATTATTAACTTAAAAAAATGATAACATTAATTCATATTTTAAATGTTTTCTTATGATGTTTCATATAAATAATTCCTTTATAAATTCAATTTTTTGTTAAGTCTTGAGTTTAAATGGCAAAACTGAAAAATTTCTTGCAACAATTGTAATTGGCCTGATTAGTATGAGGTTTTTTAACATTAAAATCGTATAAAATAATATCTTAAAAAAACTTTCCTTTATAATTTCCAAAAAAAATAACCCTGGTATTAAATGTTGTAAAATATCACTGTCATATTAAAATGAAAAAAATCAATATTACAAAAAGATAATCGTAAGTATAATTCAAATTATATAAATTAGTTATGTGGTATTTTTAGTTAAATTGAAAATTTGTATTGCCCACTTTCTACTGTATAAGTAGTTTTTTAGGGAAAAATTATCTAAAGACTTCATGTAACAATTAGAATGAAATTTCTTAAAACGAAATAAGTTGATAATGTGAATATTTGTTAATATATTAAAAAAGTTTTTATTTGTATGTAGTTAAATAAATTTCACTTGAATTTTTGTATTCTAAAAAGTAGATAATAAATTAAAAATTAATTGATAGCATTTAATCTTCTGTTATGCGCTTTCTAAAGACCAATTACTAACATGGCTTAACTACGATTATAATTTTCAATTTTTAACTTATTAAAATAACTTATTGAACTTGATTAAAAAAGTTAAGCGAGTTTTATACGTATAATTTATTGGCACTTAAAATAAATTATATAATCTAAAAATTTTTTTTTGGAAGACTTGTAATTTATTAAGTGTAATGTACACAAAATTATGATACATATAATTATACCTAAGATGTAGGTAAGTTTAGGATGCATAAATTTACAGTGTATGATACTATGATGACACATTGATTTTATATAAATCACAAAAATACATTTTTTTGAGATAACTTTATTTTTTTCACAATAAGAAAAACAATTTTTATATCTTGAAATAGTTGCAATCATAATTTTTTGTTAGGGTTGCTAAAGAATGTAGCTATGACATTGGAAGCAGTATTGTTTATTAGCGGATCTAGCGAGGGGTATCAGACTGTAGTGGCGTTCCTTGAGACTTGTATAGAAAAATCGGTAAGAAAACCAAAAAAAAGTTCAATAAATTAAAAAAATTATATTGATTTGCCACTGAAAACAATGTTTTATATTAACACCCACCATAGAAAAATCTTAATCTGCCTTTGGTAATAATTACCTGAAAAATAATTGTCATAAAGATTTATCGTTATAAATGAATAGAATATTAAAATAAAGAAAACAAGCATAATGATTGTTTTTTATACACTTATTTTATAACTTTAAAGTTTTAACATCTACGCATTAACAAAACCTGCATTATTTAAAATAAAATTATTGATTATTGTCTATTTTTTTTACAGGAATAACAATCAGTCATATACCAAACACTACGTTCATCTGGTTGTATTGATTCGAAGTATAATCACCACTATGACCATGTAGAACAGGTCGTAATTTATGGGTACTTGCGAGGCTTTATTCTTGCCACCTGTTAAGTGACGATTGCCCTTGTCGTAATGCCATGTACCATGTGACGTAGGTTTTTTAGTAGTCATTAGTGTGGTAACTTCGTAATCAGGTTGAGAATCCAATGGCTGACGACTAGACGACACAGTTGTAAAATCTTCTAACGGTACCCAATTATTGATATTATCTTCTTCCTCTATTTCCTCTTTTTCTTCGGATTCCATTGGAGTTTCTAAACTGGTTGGTATACTTGGTAAATGGAGTTCTAAAAATGTTGTATCACATTTTTTATGCAAAATATTTAATTTGAAATGTATCTAACTTTGCCGATTAATTACCTTGTAAACGTATGGACCCTTCGGCTATACCTAGAGCATTTTTAGCTATACAAAGATAACCACCAAAATCTTTTGGTTCAAGACTGGTAATTATTAGGTTCATCTGCAATGAATACTCGTTAATTGGCGTCTCAGTTATTTTGTACTTTGAACTTGGTATAAGATCAGCACCTTAAAATTATCGAACTATTGTTACTATATAATAATAATTTATTACATTATATATTAAAAGTAAAGTACAGTAAGTAATAAATATTATTAAATATACTTAAATAACCTATTTTTAATATATGTATTTAAGTAAATAGTCAGAGGTCAGTAGTGGAATTTTTATAAACGCATTCGTACAAATCGGGGAAATTAGAGGGGCTTAGTTTCTCTAAAATTCTCGAACAACTTTATGTAACTCTATATGAAACTTATTTTTAAGGAATATTTAATATTATCATAGGAATATAAGAATAACATAAAGTTAATTTTTTCATCTTCATTGAGAAGGTAAAAAAATTATTCAAAAATGTTATGAAAAATTGTTTTTAATTTTTAATATATCAGAAACGACATAAAATATTAACTGATATAATTTTCATAGTTAAAATGTATTTTAATTTAATTTAAGAATTGATAACATTATAAGTGCCTGTGATATAGTTTAATTAACTTAGAAGCCTCTGAATAATTTTTTTAAATAACTCCAAAATATGTGATATTGTAAAACATAATAATAATAAGGGCAAATAGACGTTTTTTAACAAGTAAAATAAGCTTGTTTATTAAGTTTGTCAAGGCAAGTTTTCTAAAAAAAAACCTGAGAATTTTATCATTGGTTCAGAATATAAAATAGAAATAACATGTTAATGTGAATCTAATCTTATCATAGTATCAAATCCAAAAAACCATCTAATTTTTTGTACAGCAATGTAATGTAATAGCTTTTATAAAAGTTTACTTACTCGTGTAATGTCTTATATATATTCAAGAGTGAAATATAAATATGATATGTAAATGGAAGGTCACGAGGCGCCCGAAATTGAGATTTAGGTGTTCAAGTCATGAGTTAGTTGATTAATTTTTATTTGTACACATTTGCTAAAATTAAGTTTTATTTTTATACATTATAGAATATAATAAATTTTTTTTTGAGACTATTTGATTAATTTGTACATTTATTTTATACATACGAGCGAGATGAATCAAGTGTAAATTGTAGTTTTATTTTTAATATTGTATTTTTGCTTTTAGAATTCTAATAAATGAAGCGATATTTCAAAATTGTAAAATTATTTTAATATAAAAAATAAAAATAATTTATCTGTTTAGATGAAAAATATCATAAATTATTTTTGGTAAGTTTAGTTAAACTAACTTTATTTAAGTTAATTATGTGCTAATTATCACTAAAGGTATCAATAATTTATAACATATGTTGTTAACTAGGATTCAATTATTAGTGTTTTTTTAAACAAAACTTATAGCTAATTATAGCTTAAAATACAGCTAATATGGCGTTAAAAAAAGGACCATTAATGAGTTTTTGCTCTAAATAAACAATATTGAACACCAGTGATTTCAGGTCGAGTTTCTAAATTTAAATGACATTGATCGTAGCTGGTTCTTAAAATAAATTACCAAAATATTTGCGCACAGAATTGTCAACAAATCAAAGAGATGCATATTACATAGCCTATCACTTGATCCTGAGTTTCTTAATATAAATCTCTTAAAACACAAAACTTTTTAAGAGTTTGTAAAAAAGAATATTGAAGACAACGTGAAAAATGTATTGTGCGTTTTTCAAATATTATTTGATTTTTCTTAATATTTGAAGTAAGTGGAAAAAAAGACTTTAGAATCATCTCGATTTGAAAAATTCCCGACAAAGTAATTTGTATGCAAAAATTAATATCATCGAGTAGTTGTCAATGTGTGAATTTAATGTATTATGAAAATATTTTCAGAGATTTCTGCGAACCTGTGTTAATTTCAAAGATGTTAAACAATATTAAACGAAAGTTCTATAACTGAAAAAGAAAAAATAAATTATTCTACTAAAACTTCAACACTTTGAGCTGTCTCAAACGGGTCTCTCACTACACAATTAACATTTAACTGTCATTATCAGAAATATGGTTTTTAAAGTTTTCGTTTGAAATTTTTCTGTGTTCATTCATTTTATTTTACCCGGAAACTATTAGATTAACGGCATAAGGATAGCTTACTAATTAAATTAATAAATAGTATACTAATAAGCAAATAAGTAACTAATAAAGAAATATAAAACGCGAGATATAAAAATAATTTGTATTTAACGTTTTTGATCACTCTTATTTATATTTTTGATTAAAAAAATACTTTAAATTTGATATTTCCTCATTTTTTCTTAAAAACATTAAATATTGAAGATTGTGTTTATGCGTTTATGCTTTTAAATTTTGTAAAATAAAATAAATAATTAATAATTTTTATAATTATTATCTTAAAGATTATTATTGTTATGCATAATGTAACTTTTAACGCTCATTATACAAATTATTCAATGAAAAAAAGTCATCATTAAAATGATGCACGCAGTCATTTGGTTATGAGTACATTATCAGTGCAATAAGTTGTGGTTAAACGAATAAAATGAATGAAATTCTTTTAGCTTCTTAAGTTCTCAAGCTACATAGACATTTAAAGTGTTTTGTATCTATTATATTGTTTACCAAAATCCTTTAGTTTGGGTTGAATCGTTTGAAGTAGTCAATTTCTGAGTTTACATTAAATGTGCTCAGAGTCAGTAAAAAAGCATTAGACTTTTGAATACTGAAAAAACAGTCTGTAGCACATAGGGAAATTCTACCAGGTATTTTACATCATAGTCAATACTATTTACGGTGAATAACGGTACGGTTAGGATACGTCGAAATGTAAAGGAATAAATACATGAGAGAGCTGCGCGTAAAAATTTGCTATATCGTTATCGTCCGCTTTTTTTAGTGTGGCGGCATAGTATTGTGGAAAGAGGAGGAAACGGTGGAGACAACTGTCGTGTGCATAATGGAAACGCGGATTTTATGAGTCCAACGACGGCTAAAACGACAAATAGAACATGTGTCGCCAAAGCTCACACCTTTCACCCTCTATCGTTTCTCTATCTCCGCCACAGTAGTTTTTACCGCTCTCTTACAATCAGAATAAAACATTAAACCGATTTCTTTCCGCCCGGTCTGCTTCTTTTTCTTGTCTCGTATAAATGTCCATATTACCAGACACGTAAATCCCGCACTTAAGGTGGAAATATATATATAAACACACTCTTACACATAAACCATAATCGAACAGTAAAATATTGAGAGAAAAATAGTAAACAAAAAAAAAAAAACTGGAAAAGCAAAAAGAAGTATAGGCCAGTTTTATCGACGTCTGTAGAGCGTTCTAGGGATTTAGATGCCGATGGTTCGGGCGTTTAATGTTATTTATTTCTCATTGTGTAGATTAAGCCAAGGTTTAGTGGAGACTTCTGTCGACAAGAAAACAATTTTATATTTTCATGCTTATGTTTGTATCGCAAGTCGAATGCTGGCGGCGATATGAAGACGAGCGTGTATCACAATGGCATTTGTTGAATATTTATTTTACTGTTATCAGCATCAGATCGAAACCGTAGAGATTTATAACGAAGGGTACGGAGGCGTAGAAAATGAAATATTATTTCGTAATAATTGCTCAATTAAAGGCGATTAGACCATGAAATAGCATAGACATGACACCAGGAATATCAATTGCACGGATCTTCCTGACACAATTGATTACTACTCGAAACGGAGTCGATCCGAAATGCACTGGCCGACAAATCAAATTCAACGCGAGTAAATATATCACATACTCGCACAACGATTGTCCCTTTCCTTTATTATGGTTTATTAACGATTAGCACGGGGTGAATTCGTGTGGGGAGGCGATACAGCGTATTAAGTACAGCGATATCGTTCCAAGTTTATATGCGTATCGTCTTACCATTAATTTTGGCCCAGCTGTGCATAGCTTTCGGTGAAGTTTCTACGTAGCACTGAATGTGCACGTTACTGCCAATAGGCGCGGCTACCAGCTGGTTGGTCACCTTGATCATAGGATGAACTGCAAAAGTGAAATTATTATCACCAATTAATAGTGTTGGTAAGAAAGAGTTAGATTATTGTTCACACAAATATTAGCGTAAACACTACATCGGGCAATAAACTTGTCGGTTTATACGATTTAAATGAATTCCATCCCCTAATGGATGCAATACAAAAACCTTATTAATACCCTTAATGGATTTACGCGCAGCCAACTGTTGCCTTTTTTGTCCCAAATCGCGGGTCGGCCATACCCGTAAAAGGAACAGAGAATTTTATGCACGAGGTTAATCCGCCGTTCGTTAATGTAAAGGTCCACTCACAGTGTACTTGCACGTTGAATTCCTTGCTGACCGTGGGGGGCACGTTATTTTTAGCTATGCACAAATATTTGCCCATATCTGTTCGGTGCACGTTATTTAGCTCCAAAGTATCGCCTTTCACAGTCGCCGATTCTGAGAAAATAAAATTTTTTATCAATATAAAACATTCGTAGGTATGTATTGCATTTTAGCAAATATAATGAAAGTTAAATAGAAATTATTTAAATCTCGCGAACAATTCTAGAGTAAGTTTTACAAATCAATATAGGTTACTTAGTTGTCCTAAACATGACCTTGATACGCTAAAATATTTTCATATTCTTACGCATGTTTAGTTATTCCTCAGATTATTAATTATTTATAATCAATTATTATGTGTGCAACCAGAGTTTGGAAATATTGGATCCTGTTAATTGCAAAGATTATGCCAAAATATTAAAGGAGAAACATCACCTTTAAGCGATCAATTAAAAACATCAACAATCACATCTAGATAATAAATTTTATTTATACTTTTCATTTACAGAAAAAATCTAACTGAATTCCAATGTTATATTGNTCTTACGCATGTTTAGTTATTCCTCAGATTATTAATTATTTTTAATCAATTATTATTAACCAGATTTTTGGAAATATTGATCCTGTTAATTGCTAAGATTATGCCAAAATATTAAAGGAGAAACATCACCTTTAAGCGATCAATTAAAAATATCAACAATCACATCTAGATAATAAATTTTATTTATACTTTTCATTTACAGAAAAAATCTAACTGAATTCCAATGTTATATTGACGATAATTTAACAAATAAAAATCATTTAGTTCATGGGACGAACATTGTTATAATTTTAGCTAAATTATAATTAGCTTACGATTTTTGGTACAATATAATTTTGAGATTACTGTCAAATAAATCTGACAATACGAATGTCGAGGTAATATTATTGATTACTAATAAATATATCCTGTAAAATTATCGTTTTTTTCTTATTTATTACCTTATGGTTTGTAAAAATATTTTCTTCTAAACATAGAGCTGCGTTTTTTTTTATAATAAAGTTGAACTGTTGGTGCTTTGGAAGTACTTAAGCTTTATAAGTTATGCTTAATTTACTTCATCACGAAGTAGATAAATCACTGTTAAGCAAATAAGAGCTGATAAAGATTTCTATGCGACTTATTTTAGTTGTACTATTTTGTTTTAATGAAAATTAAAACACATACCCTGAGCTTAGCGTTAAACAATCGACAAAAATGTTATTTTATTAGAAAGTACGTCGAAATCGTTAAAAAATCAAAATGTCATACTTCTATGAGGTATTTTTTATATACCCGACCGGAGTTCATATTCCTCACGGTCACAGTACTTTGTGCGATTTACCATTTTAAAGTTTTATAAATACACCTCTGTTCATAGTTATTTTAGAACTTAATATGCAGTCTTTGATCCGCAACCATTGCTACCGAGTATTCGACCCAGTGGAGATGGCGGTGTTGGTAGCTTCCGTTTCAAACTTTTGACAAATAACGGCGGATTTTTATTTGCCGCTTGATATCCTACGGTGGCTACAGCAATGCATGGAGGAGAGGACTAGCGGATGTCGGGTTGCAAGTGGCGGCCTTTTATAACATTTGTCTTTGTTCGTTACAAACGACTGATTTCTTATTGCTCGCCGCAAACCACGTGCCCCCAATAGCTGTAATAGAGGTGTACAAAAGGGAGATTTTACTGGGCGAATTCACCCTCTGTATGCATTGCCGAGGGTAGAAAAAAGTCTTATAAGAGAAATATGTCGGCTTCAGGCCAGTCATCATTTTTTGTGTTTCGACAAAAAATAATTTTATTATCGGATTATAATAATTGTACTTTTGTTTTGTGTTCAATAAAATCACTACGCCCTTTAAAATATCAACAATTCATTTAGCGATTATTCACCATCGCCTTGTACACTTGGGTTACTCTCTATCCATGACTGTTCCAGAGGAATCATTGGCACGGTAATTAGGATTAATATTGGAAATTTTGCCATTCAATTTTCTATTAAATTTAAGTGTAATACTGCACGTGTGAATTTAATATCGGTCGATTAAATTATAGTTTTCGTATATTTTTTATTTCATTTATTTTAATCTTTCGAAATTATTCCTCTTGAATAAATTAAGAAACAAATACTTATTAAACTAAGGACAAATGTTTATTTTATTAATCGGGGGCAGATCCAAAATTTTTTGAATGGGCGCAACATTTTTTAAACGTCAAAACTAATTTTTACTTATTTCATCGTTCAAAATAATTTTTTTAACTAGTCGATTATAGTACAAGAAGAGTTTATGTGCTACAAATTTTACTCGTTTCACATCATTGTCATTAATTAAAATGATCAATAATATTACTAATCCCAAATTTAAGCATAATTTAGTCTGCGCAATTTGTCTATGATCCTAATTAGGGTTTTTGTTTCGGTGGTGAATTATTACCCTCTCTAAAATATGTATATATTTTATCCTGCCACTCTTTTTAATTACGCCCCTATGTATGGATAATTTTTTGTGAAAATTCAATTATTTACCTTGTTTTTTTTTTGTTTCGTCTGATCGAATTATGATGTGACGGTTGTCTTTTCTTTTCCAATAAACTTTAGGTTCGGGTTTGCCTGTCGATCGACAACGTAACCTGACAGTACCGCCTTCCATGGCCGAACTACCGGGCCCAGATAAGTCGTCTTCATCGATGATGTCTGGGGGTATCCGGACGTCTAAGTATCCGGTCTTAAAATAATAACAGTCTTTAAATTTAAAGCATTTTAATGGTAAATATATTAGCCAATTAATTGTTGTATTAAAGTGTATACAACACGGTTAACTTCGAGATTAAAGAAAATAAAGTAATAAGTTCATGATATAATGTTAGGCTTATAAAATATAGTGCCTTGGCTTTTTATCTTATTTATTGGGTATGCATAGTAAACAGTAACTTTAAGTATTTTGATGCTTGAAAAAGCAACACTAAGATGGCAAGAGTCATTAGGATTTTAGTTGGATGCGTGCTGGTAGAATATTTAACGGCTTGTCGATTTCGAATAAATGTATTATATTTAAAAAATGAGTACATTTTTACACTTGTAAATTATATCATAAAGTAAACCAAAATAAGTACTATTATTAGGAAATATAAATATATGATATTAAAATTAATATTACTATCAACTTTCGTTTTTATTTCGAACATTTTGGAACGGTTCAATCTTTATTAGAAAAACTTTCTCAACATGAATAACTGTTATCAAATAACTGTCTAGGCATAAAAAAATAACAATTTTTATTTTTTAACATTTAATTAAGGTTAATTTAATATTTTCATCTTAATATCAAATAGAAGTTTAAAAATAGTGATTCTATTGGTTGAAACTGTAGAGTAAAAAAATATCTCTGTTATTATTTTAAATATAAGAGAAACGTTTATTGATGAAATATTCCAAGTATGGCTTATGAAAATTGCATAGTTTATTTAGTAAGCAAGTGAATATTTTATAGTATAGATTATATTTACTCTTAATAAGTAATTCTTCGAATTAGATATCAGTAAAAACAGAAGAAACATAATCTAATAAGAGGTAAATGTTACATAGTAATTTTTAATATGAGATCAGTTAATCATTAACAATGTAACATGCGCTTTGAAAATGAAAATTCTGTATAATATTTTATTTCACGTTTTTATTTTTATTTGAATACGCTCTTTTTAAAAATTAGAGCAATGTAATTAACTCCTGTTGAATTTCTTTTCAAAAAAAAAAAAACCGTAGTCCGTTTAAAAAGTAGTTTTATGGAGTAAACATTATTATATATTTTATTTCCACGTATTAGTAAAAGTAATTTGTTGGGGATTATGTTGAAGCTTTAAGTCTACTTAAATAATTTCTGAATAACTAAATTCACAAATGTTTGAATGTAATGTGTACTACCAGTTTGGGCTTATTGTTAACTTCTTAAATATAAATCGTTGAGCTTATTATTAAGTTTTATATGGAAATCGGTTAATCAGAATAAATAGACGAGAGGTATCAGGACGGCATCTTGTATATCGAACGAAAGTACGGCAATACGTGACTTGAAATCAGTTGAAAGCAAATGACGCGAGAAATAAGAACACGGTGAGTGGGCTAGTTTTTGGAAATCTCGAGCAATTTTCTCTCTGTACTACTAGAGCACAAGATATTTCATACTAATTTATCGAAATGCTCATCACTACAAATTTTAATAGATATCTACACTAATGAAGAAGAATAAGCATTACGTCAAGTTGGGTTACACGAGTGTCACCGTTGACCGGGTAAACAGTCTAGCTTACTAAGATCGACACGGTATTTTTTTCAATATTTTCCATTTGTAAAAAAAAAAAAAGGTGTTTAAGATATTTTAGTGCTAAAATATGAACAGTTACTTACGTTGATAGCTGAAAAAGTTTAACAATCTCGATAAATGTCTATAACTCTTCGTGTCTATCACTTAAAAACAAATGGTTTGATAAGTTTTTTCCTACCCTACCAATAAATAATGGTCGAGCAGTTGAAATGAGAACTATTTCTGTCTAAGCAATTAAACTTCTTTGAGTTACTTTTGAAGAATAAAGTAAAACTAAACGTTATAGGACATTTACTGCAGACCTAGATGAGAAAAACGTCTTAAGCCTTTTATTTATTTTAACAAATTTTCAGGGTTTCTTTATCGCACAGTATTAATAAATAAATTATCTGGACAGAAAAATATTTTAAATTGATATTTAAGAATTCAAACATTTTTTTATTTATATATAAATAACATGTATAAAAAAAATCTTAAGTCTATTAACATTACATGTATATTTTCCATATATTCTTAAACTAAAAATTATTTATGGGGAGAAAAATAACCTGTATGTTGCGATCTTGGAGGTATCTGTGCAAAGTTTTTTTTTACTACATTTTTGATAGTCTATCAGATATCTGATATCTCCACTATGCTTTACAAACTGTTTAGGATTTTTTTTATTTTACATTATGTATCAGTTTGAAAAGTATATACAGTGAGAATATTAAAGAGCTATTATAAACTGTTATAAGATTCTTAATCAAAGGTTAATTTACGCCCTGTAAATTAATAAATTTGTAATCATTATCATAATAATGATTTCTATGTCTGTTGTTTTCTTACTCTGTTTAAAAACCAAAAATTGTAATACAATTGATGCCATTGAAATATCACATTTGGTTGTGCATCATATTTCATACAAGTATCTGTATTTTCAAGAACAACATAAGTATTATAATTTTAAAATATATCAGAAATAAGGGTTGGAATCAATTTTTTACTAGTGGTAGAAAACCTTAATACATTCCCAAACTTTGTGGTCAAAATTTCTTCTATCATAAATTCGGAAGTGTATCTATAGCTGTGTCATCAAGTAGAATATTGAGAAACCAATATTATTGGTAGCTTATAAAGACCATGTCGCGAATAATTAGATATTATTTATAATCCCAAATATACATTTATTAATTATTGAAAATAGTCGTTAAAACATGAGTTAAACTTAGTGATATTAAATTGTTTTTTGCGAATAAAATTTATTATGAATGTCAGTCTGAAATGACTAAATTAATTTAAACATTCACCTATTTTTATAATTGCATATCAATGTACCTGAACAATCATTGGTTCTGTATTTATCTGACACATGTAACTTCCGGTATCATTCTTTTGGACGTTGTACACGTGTAATTTCCAAGTGTTATGTCCATTATGAGTAACAGCGAGTCTATGATTGTGAGCGATTAAATTGGTGTGGATTGCCAAAATAGCTTTGGAATCTGATTTGATCCATGCTACCTAAATACAAATAAAAAAATTAACACTGGTAGTTTAACTATTTAATTATGTAATAAAAATGTTACTTGTGAGAAATAAGATTTTCTAATAACATGATACTACAAAAAACTGTGGAAGTCTCAGAAAATTTATTATACTCAAAAACTACTAAATGTGTTTAAGTCGGTGTTATTAGATTTTCAAATAACTGACGTTAAAATATGTATGCAACGAACATTATTGATGACACTTTTTATACGATGTTTCTGCAAAGTGACAGATGACTGTTATTGATGTTAAGAGTGCTTAATAAAGTGATTAAATGTTTTTTACGAAAAAAAATTAATTTTAACATAACTTATCTAGAACATTTATATTCTACTGGAAGAATAAATAAACATAATGTAGAAATTGGTGTCAGCAAATGGAATGATTGTCACGGAAATATCACGAAAACACAAACGCATCAAAAAAAAAAAGGTTATAATCTAAGGCGGACGACTACATTGTAATATTTTATAACGTGCGTTTTTATCAAAAGAAAACTAAAAGCTTGTGTGACCTACGAAAAATTACTCGAATCAGTGTTTTTATACAAAGGCTTAATAGAGTTAACAACAAAATGCACATACAAAACGTACAGTACAAATTGTACACATTATTAGATTTCGATAGAGTCAAGAGTTCGATGTGCCGTAGTTGGCCATATTTTATGGATTATAACGTTATTACTTATCAGATGTGATAAGTTTTTGGAAATTGATTAAGAAGAAGTAATCCTGCGAAAGTGTTTATTTGTGTGTGCGAGCACATATTTTGAGGAATTTAAGGTGCGACAACTTGAGGACGAACACAAACGGATATAACTTTGACTTTTGTGGAATATTCCAGTTGGATTGTCAACCCCAGTGAAGTGCGGCGTGCCCCAGAGGAGAACTTCTCTGGCGGTAATCTTACCAAAACTAATAATAAAAACTTGATGCCGGATCACGGTCGGTGAAATATTGGCTTGATTGAGTTCTTTGTCTGGTGTCTACGTTTTATTAGGAGCGATGCTCTATCCGTGTGTCATCGAAGGGATGGGATACGGTTCAGACAAATCTATAAACTAACTCACTTCCTTATATAAATACATTTTTCTTTCAACAGTCACGTTTCATTTAAATTTAATAAGAGTCGTTCGGTTTTCTTTAAAAACATTCATTTATGATTATTTATTTTGTAAAACATTTCGGAGGTACTCGGATGTTACCTGATTTTTGATTACATAAAGAAACTCGTGCAAGTGAAATAGTAGCTTTAAAATTAATAAAAATGTACTAAAATTTTACTATATTGTTATAATAATTAACGTTTTATTACATAAATTAAAAAAAAGAGGAGAAATGATAAATCTTTGACTGCGTACGAGAGTAAATGTATTGTCATTAGATAAATGTACAGTTTTCTACAAAAATAAAGAAGTACCGATAGTTTTAAATAAAAATTTATTGGTGTTGTTCTTTGTTTATTTTAAAAATATGATAGAAATTATACTTTTTTGCTATTGTTAATATAATTAAAAAATTGGTTATGGTATTGTTTAAAATTTGATTGGTCTAAAATAAAAAAAGATGCGTAACTCGGTTGTCTGAAAACTGTCTATTTCATTATAACCGCATACTGATACGGGTATTGAAAACGAACAAAGTTAGTTAGTTAACTAAAAAGAGCCTTAGCCTTTTAAATGTCTACCAATTGTGTTTATGATGTATAAATATAATATTTACAAATAGATACAATAGGCTGTTATAATAAACACCCTACTAAAATGTGGTTTTATCATTTATCTAAGGATTAGGTAACAAAGTTATTTTATGAATATTACAATAAATTAACACACAATTCTCAATAAGTAATAAAACTAGAGAAAATATGTGTTATAACATTAATTAAAATTGATGTTTATAATTTTATGTGGTCCTTTCAATGGTGAAGGGTAAATCAGAGTATTTTCAATAATATCAAACAATGGTTCTAGTTGAGGGTAAAATGATATTGTGTTTCCAAGAATCATAAAACATAAGTGTCGATCCAGAGATAAGTTTATTTTTCTAAAATTCTATTGGATTTCAAACAATTTATAAAAATATGCAAAACACGGTATTAAAACTAAAAAAAATAGCGTTACAAAGTTTTTTTAGTCTCACTCGAATTAAAAATAAACTGTTGCGAAGATTGAAAGTCAATTTAAATATATTATATATATATATATATGTAAATAAATAATTAATTAAGATTTTTTTTATTATTTGATAGGATATTTAATAAATATCATAATTTTTATTACTTTTATATGTTTAAAGTATTTCAAGTATTATTTTCCAATTAATGTTATGAAAAATAGGTTTTCTCCGTCATTTTTTTATTTTAAGTTTTACTGGCTTGAGTCATTACTCAATATCAAAATTTATATAAATCTGTCAATTAAAATATTCGTTCTACATCACTGGCCAAGATATTTTTTCTTGGCAAATGAAACGGAAAATTGGTGGCAACCAAAATACCTGACTAGTTACGTGTCTGAAGGGGTTTCACTACCCTCTACTCTGTTACGAATGTAAGACTTTATTAATTTTGACTTGGTAAAAGTTATTCTAACAATATATTATTAATGTTTTCTTACATTCATTAATATTGTCAACGTAAAGTTATTATTTTTTACTGTTATATACAATTAGTGAAAAAAAGTAAAATAATTATTTGTATTTACTTTGTAACTGCCCAAGTTGTTAACTGTGCACGTGAAAGAGACATCTCTTCCTTGAGTAACTGTCCAGTTTTCTAGCGGAGCATAAAATTCCGGCAATACTTCAACTGTGTCATGAATTTGGCCTGTAAAATGTATTTTAGCGAAATTTTTAATCTTTGATTTTCAAATTACAATCAACAGTGGATTAATTTTTTTTTTAAATATGAATATGTATTTATGTATATTAATATGAAACTCACACTTCAGTGTGTTTACGTTAAAAAGTTTTTAAATAAAAATTGTTAAATTTTCATAAATAAGTTTTTTAGTACTTGGTGGAAAAGTATATTTTATATAGATATTTTTAACTATAAAGTAACTAAAATTGTGTAGTTGGCAAATTTTAAGTTATAATTCCTAGAATATTTTTATTCACTATTTGAAGCAACTGTATTTGAGAATAATAAAACGAAATTATTGTTTAATAAAAACTAAGTTATACAACATGCCAAAAAAAAATTATTGAAACAAAAATACATTATACAAATGTGCTTAATCTCGGACCAAAAAAAAGTTTTTAAGTAACAAAAAAATGAAGTTATGCTTGAAACGTATTCTTCAGTGTCTTTGGTGAAATAAATGTTTGTTCTGTGCTAAAATATAATTTCACCCATAGCTATAACATTATTTTAAAAAGTTTGACCTTGTTTGTTTCTGTCGCACTCGCATACATTTTTTTTTTTAAGAACTTAATTTCACTTAGTGGTGTAACATTAGTTTTAAGTGGGTATAAGAAAAACCTTCCTATTGAACATCTACTAAAAAATATGTTCCTTTGGCGGTATTATGACGTCACGAATTCGAAGGTGGACCGTTTATTATTTTTATTATTGTCTTTTTTATCACGCAAGATAATACGCGTGTCAACAGTTTTCGACAAAGCGATGCCAGTTATTCGTTATTTCTGTTATTTACCGCTAAATAAGGTGACCAGGTTGGGTTTGGAGGACTATTTGTCCTCTTGCAGCATATATAGGAATATTGAAAGAGCACTTTTGATTTGTTCGTCGGCGGTATGTAAGGTGTTAACGTCAAAGCCAGACACTGATATATTTATGTGTATAGGAGGCGATGTCAAAATCATAACTATGAAATCCATTTATTTGTCAAATTTTATCTATTCCATATTATATTTATGGAGATTGTATTAATAGACGGCAGACCGACAAATAACTTATGTTAAATATTCTACACTTCACGTTGTTGTTGATTTTATTTATGTAATTTAATTTTTTTTCGTTTATAAGACAATATTTATAAATTATTTTTAAATAAAACGTATTTTATTATAATTATCAGCAATTATAATTATGTTCTTAAATCATGATTGTGTTCTGAGATTTAAATAATTTAAACAGTTGTGACTAAGGATATTAAACCAAAGTTTCCCTTTTTTTTATTAGTTATATTTACTATTGGTGAACATTTTATTTTTTCAATTATTTATTCATTGTACTATTTTCATTAAAAATAGTATTGAACAATCCAGTTTTAGTCCCAGTTATTTTTTAAAACTTAGTTTGATCATAAGATGGTGTTACTATTATATTTAGTTGATTGAAAAATAAAAAGTAAAACAACTCTGTTATAATTAAGTTTGATGGAATTAACATTATTGTTATGGTATGCATTAAAATTCAACTTAAAAATACAATGTCAACCCTACACTTGAAAAATAGACGGGCAAACATATCAAATTGAATTCAGTACGTGATGGTATTTTCGATTATAGTTGTCTAAAACGAATATTCAATAGCTTAACAACTGGCACATGTCCATTTTCTTCTTTGCATAGAAAAGTTGATAAATCCACTATTCAGTTTTCACTTGATCGCCTATTTTGTTTATTTGATTGCATTCAATGAAATACAAATAGTTTTCTGTAAAAAGATTTCAGTGTAGGCTTCGTTTTTAAGCTTCGATTACAATTGTTGTTATAACATATATAAATTACGTTCATGTATTTTCAGGGTATTTGAACGGAGAATGTATTCAAGGAACTTCAAATATGGTTAAAAAACAGATTGAAGATACTTCGCTTCACTAACAATTATAATATTGTTTGTTGTTCGGGAGAACTTAAAAATTATAAATGTTAATTTTATTTTTTACTGCAGGTTTAAGAATTTAATGGTGTTTTATATATTTTTGGAATTAACGGTTAATACGTACGCATTTTAACTTATTGTTTCTAAAGAAACATGGCTACTTATGTGACAAAAATTTAACGTGTTATGTAAACTATTTTGTAGGCAATAAATGCGTAAAGATACATTTGTTTATTTATCGTTAATCTTCTGTTATGTGAAAAATCATTCAGTCACGTCGAATGTCACGAACTCGAAAATGGGATTCAAGGATGTGCCTTAAAAAATGAAAAAGAATGGAATTAATGGGTTAAGCTTTGAAAGACAAAATAGCCGCCATCATTTCGTAATCCCATCAACGCATTGGAGTTGAGTAAGTACTTAATCGGCTTTTTGTTTTGTACAACCCTTTAAAATCATCTAACGACTTTTATTGGAATTAGTCTACACAATAAAAAAGAAGTAAAATTACTATACGCAGTTGATTTTCTTCTGTTTAACGTCAAGATGGAAGTGTTTGATTTTATCAAACCAACTGCTTTGTGTTTGAAAAGCTTTTGTCGGCTAAGTCGATAAAAAACTTCATAGGTATGGATTCCGTTAAAATTATAAATTCCAACAGCTCTGTTGTACAAAGATGTTGACAAAACGAGCTCCAACAATGCAATCATATGTGTTTTATTATGGGGATTTTTTTATCTTTGGCGTATTGAATAAAACACTCGGTATTTACTAAATTCCACGTCTATACGTCGTGTAAAATACGACGAGTACAAAAAAGTTTAATGGATTAAATATGTGAGTTTTACTTTTACATAACACCGGTCGTATTATTCAATGAACGAGGTGTATTTTCTCTCAGAGTTTCGACGTGAGATTTTAGTCACTGAAGTCACTTCGGTAAGCCGGAGATACTCTAATACTTTTGTTAACATTTGTCGTGCATAGGACTGCTACCGGTGTTGACTCGTCTCTGCGAAAGGCGGCAAGGGGAGGAGTCATCCTTATAGAAATTATTATCAATATACAGCCGTGGCACTGTCTCGTGAATCACAAAAGTAGGATTAACTTTGAGCCGTAAAGAGTTATGGGATCAATCGCCCAAAAATTAGAGAAATCCACCTTCAATGCCTTCCGAGGGCTTTGCGAGTAATTAATTTACAGTCAGCAACTCATTTGCAGACATATATATTTTCAAATTAAACTAAATATGTAGTGACTGCAACGAAACGGGATGTCATTTTGTTCATTGGACCATTAAAAACGCACAACATGTTTTTATTGTATGACCTTAAGCTGGTGTCCCTATAAACGAATCCAATTAATTTTAAGTAATACGTACAGCGTAATGAAATAACAGTTCAAAACTTCCTGAAGTTTATTTAATTGCTTAAAAATGCAGCTGTAGTCTTTGTTATTGGCGACAATCTCATAATATCACGACAAAGTTTCCCTGTGGCGCTACTTTTTATGTGTCGATCGCGCAGTTTTTGTTTAGNCGGTACTACTTTTTATGTGTCGATCGCGCAGTTTTTGTTTAGACATAAACATTTCGAAATTATTATTATATTTTTTACGTCTGGACTCGTTCGATCAATAATCGTTATTGAGTTCCTCTGTACAATTTGATTACGACAGTTGACGTTGGGGATGTTATTGTTACGAGGAAAACTAGTACAACGCCGTTACATTTAAATGGCATTGGAAACGCGGCGCTCACGTAATGCGATTTGATCCAAAACGTGTAGAAAACACGGAGTGTCGAAGGTGCGGGCTGTCCATTGACGGCCTCAGCGGTTCCCCGTAGTTTGTATGCTTTGGCCGCGGCGCACGAATGAGTTTGCACGTTATTATTTGTCGGCGTGTGCGTAGAAGCGAAGTTTCACAAAGCTTGGCGAGATGCAGAAAAGGCGACGCACTGAAACGTGTACAGCAATACGCTCGTACAGTTTTTTTCCAAAAGCAAACGGACTAATTTATGCACATTTGATTTTTTCCATTTGAGCGTACGTGACGAACGACGAGGCGAAGTTTCACACAATGACAACGACCGTGTGTCAATGATTTCAAGTAGTCGGGCGATTAAAAGAGCTAAACGCACTGACGAGGCTAAGAAAACGTGAGCGATATCGTAAAAACGGTTTATCGTAGAACAGCCGGTGTTTAACTTTTACACACACACACACAATTGGAATACATACGACGGGTCTGTTTTAAACGGTCTCGTTTAATAAGTTCTCCGAACTGCTATCGCCGAGCGTACGCCTCCGCGTACCCAATCGAGTAGCGCCCTGCCACTTATATGTGCAGTATAATAATGAACTCGGCCGTGGACCGTCTGAGTTATATAGAGCCGACTATTATAATTAAAAGTCGTAAATCGGGCACGGGTTATAGTCGGCGTGGGTGTGTGTACTCTCCGATCCGAACGATTAGCTTTTGCCGACTACCAGCACGTTGAATGCGTCCCTCCGACAGACCGTTCACTTTGGAGCCTATTGTTCCCGCGGTGAATTTAGCACTTGACACCACATTGTGTTATCGCCTTTTGCGCCGTGTTATCCCGTCGCCACAACGGCCGCGATGTTTGCTTAACCCTAAGCGGTTCATTCAGCCTGGTAGTAGTCTTGCAGATACGTGGCAATTCCTCCCACAATATATTAATTACGATATTAATTACGGGCAATTGAATAATTGGTGTGTGCGCTGTATAATGCAGCGTGTTGTTCACAGACGACAATCGTGAATTTCGGTCTGCCTCTACGAGCGCACGTTGTCCTGTTGTTTAGACAGCTCTAAAAACCGGTTGACACATTCTATTTTGCATGTGTTTGAATTTGTATCGGTCCGAGGGAAGAACTAGGGATGGAATTTGTTCTTAATGTATTTAAATGTTCTTCGACGTTTTTTAGTCAAGACAAAAGTTGGCTACGTCATTGTTTAGAGTTAGGCATCACTAAAATGAGGTTCGCGTCCTATTAAAAGCGATTGTGACAGCATTGTGAAGTTTATGGAACTTTTGATTTTTCGGGAGAGCGTATTATCAAATCGACTAACAGTTAATATAAATAAATTTGCATTATTAGTTTGTCTATCGGACGTTTAATAACACATTGATTCGTTTTATTAAACTTCGACATGCGATTAAGAGTGGCTAGCTTTTTAATATAAAATAACAGAATCAATCCCTTTTAAATTTGGTTTACACAAAATAATTTTACATTGCTACGAAAGCGTTTAAATAAAATTCATTTTGAAATTTATATTAGTTGGTTCGCGGTAACGCAGTTTTGGGAAATATTGCACAAATACCATTGAAAATCGCGCCTAGTAATACGGACCAATTTTTTAACGTTTAATAACTTTCAATATAAAATTAGCCTTAAAATTTTACCGTATAATTAGAATTATAAGTGAACACGCGCAACGTAAAATAATTATAAAATCACCGAAATTCTATTGAATAGTTGAAAAAATTCTCAGTACGCTACTGAAGTTTACTCTGAACCAGTTTGGTATTGAATTTACACTAAAACAAGTTTAAAACATGTGCAAGTTAGTCATGCGACGTAATAACGTCTTGAGTTGTGTTATGACACGGAGGTACGGAGTTTTAGATGCAATTTAAAAGTTCAGTACCAGGAACAGTTGAAAATCATTGACAATTACACATCATTATTCGAGTTGTCCATTTGAAAACAGGGACATGTACGTTTGGTGACGGCACGCGGGACACTTCGAGACACCTGGACGCAATAATATCATAATGTGTCCTCGTACAAAAGACCTTATGAATTCCTAGTACTTGATTTTGACATTCGTTTCAAAATACCGTCACAGTACTAAAATATTTTGCAAGTTCTTTGAGCGATACCTTATGAGTTCAAAAGTTTTAATATTGCGAATTATTTAAAAAGTACGAAAGCGTAATTTGCTTTTTTATCAGATGACCTGATGGTCAAAATATTCGATAAATATTCAACAGAAGGAAAATTAAATAAATCTTTGGCGTAAAAAACCTTCAAAAATTTTAGACACTTTTTATATTGACTCGCAAATTTCTAATTTAATTGTCAAATCATTTATACGAGGGTCTAAATTTTGGCACATTAATCCATCAAAAAACTTTCCATAATAAATTACGTTGTAAAAATTAATTTGAATACACAGTCTTGGGTTCAGTTATTAAATTAGGATGATAACATTAGGGAGAAATGCGTTGCGGTAGGCATTGTGTACTATGTAGAAAACGCGTTGCAACGAGGAATGGTCAAAGATAAGGAGCTGTAGTTTTCGATTAAGCTCACTGAAATATAATTTTTTAACCTAAATTCAATATAAAAAAGCTGTGCAAAAAAATCTTATTTATTTAAAAAATGTTTTTGAGTTAATTGTGTCGGGTGAATTATTTTAATAGAATTAAAATAACTAGTAAATATTTTCAAGTTGAAAGTATGAATTTGTGATGAATTATTTATTGTAATGTTTGTTATAATTCTAAATATCTAACATTAGTCAAGTTTACTAGGGGAGTGTTTAATAGAAAAGTTTCAAAAGTCAATTGTTTGGTGAAAGAACTAAATTAACACGATGTTGTTATTATTTATATAAAATATAATATTTACGTTTATTCACGTAATTTAATTTTTTTTCGTTTACTATAAAAACACCATANTAGAGTTAAATAACTATATTAACACATTGTTGTTATTATTTATATAAAATATAATATTTACGTTTATTCACGTAATTTAATTTTTTTTCGTTTACTATAAAAACACCATAACAAAGAGAAATCTGCTTGCATAAAATTGCATTATATTTAAATTATGCTACTTATATCGTTTTCTATTAGCCCGAGCAATTTCAATGCTGATGTGGATCATCATGTGCTTCTCGACTCACATGAATCTATATCCATAACATAAAAATCTGAGTTATTTTGTCTAAATTATTTACATATTGTATTACGGTTAAATTTTTACATCAACTCAAAACACTTAAATGTATTTAGTAGCATACATATAAATGCAAATTTAGGCAAATGGGCCGCTTGAAAGATCTTTTTAAACGATAACGCTAAAGTAGTTTTAGTAAAGAAGGGATGAATTACAATGTAAGTGTGTGTTTGTCAGAGACTGTTCATGTATTGCTGTTTATTCTGCAAGATTTGGCGAATACTTTTTGAAACAGCGCGAAGTAGAACTTTTGGGAGGGTTGTTTAGTAGTTTATGATGAATAAATATCTATGTACATCCATTACTATCGTGTTATAGATTTTGTTCTGTGGTACATAATATGTAGTGCACATAATTATTTATACGAAAATGTTTATAGTAATTACAGAGACAAGTAGAATAATCAAATTTGTCATTTAAAATCAAAGTCAAAATAACCCCTTACCTCACAATAGTTAAAACCTATTAGAAATTGGCCATTCCAAACACCCTATATGTATAAATGTATGCTATGTGTTTTTTATATTGTGCGTGAAACAAAAAAGAATTGTACATTTTCAATAACACGCGTGTTTCTCTAAAAGTAATAATAATGAGTTTTGTATTTTAAAATGTTTTTTTTTTTTAACTACACTTTATTGTGAAGTTTGTAATGTTTTCCTTTCACCGTGCAAAGGCAAGTATACAAATCATTGTGTACCAATTACCGCATTCTTTGGCCGATGGGTACAAAATAACTCAAAAGTATGTTTTATGTATACTTTAAGCCAAAATATGTGTGCTTAAATATCTTTAGCCACGGGCATTGAATTTACAACGATTCAAGTCATCCAAAACATTAGCTGTATCTTCACTCGGCGATTCTTTTGGTTTTACATTTAAGAAGTTGCCCAGTACTTAAACACGCATGAAGGCGCACAAAATTTAAAGCCTTTGTAACAAATTAAATCTGTTTTTGGTTATTAACCAAATTAGGGCGATCTCATTTGACGATGGCAGAAACTGCGGTTTGTATGAACGGTAATGATGGTGAAATTGCGTTTTTATTGCTGAACGACCAAATTAATCCTTTTTTCGGTTAGATTCAAATAATGGTTGTATTTAATACAAATAGTGGGAGGAAACACAATAAAAATAATGTTTGGTTTTTAATAAAATCCAATTGGTAGAAAAAATGCGCCTAGCGCTGTTCGCAGCGAAACCTCATAACTTACGACGAGATTGAATATCGTTTAGTGATTTTTAAATTAAAATTAGTATAAAAATCTTTGATAAAATGTTGAGTGACAATTGTAAAACGGAACATTTTAAGTACAAACAAGCAAAGAGGGTCGGACCATTACAGAAAAATATTCACTGTAAATGATTAATTAAATGGTGGTCTGATAATATAAATGATAGAAAATACTTACACTTGAGCAATAAATTAGACACAACTTAAATATTTCTTTTGAATTGTGCTTTATTTAAATTAATATTCTCAAATCATTCAAAAAAAATTATTTTTTCATTTAAAAATCAAGATATTTTACCTGAGCACTATAGAATAAAAAAAATATGTTAGTTAAATTGTTACATTATTGACGTTTTATATTAAAAAAAAGCGTAACTAAAATTGTAAAAGAATCGAAGAGGTTTTACTATTTATAGCTTTTTAAAAATTATTAAATTTGATGTGCTTTTCTTTATTATCTGTGAACTGTATAGTGTGGGCATACTTACGGGGTGATATAATGTATTTTGGTAGGGAATTCGAAATTTCCTGTACATATCTCCTTCCAAGACGAAACTTTAAGAACACTAGTACAATAGAGTTTAAAAATAACCTCTTAGTTACGTTAATGTTTGTCTTCTATTTTGAATATTTTACTATCTTAAATCTGTAGACGAGTAATTTTCAAACTTAACCGATCTATTTTTAAACTCATACTTTCAAATATATCTTTACTTAAGAATAACAATGGTAAAATGCAGATGAGTCTGTAATGTGTTGTACTTCTAAAAAATATGATTCAACTTTTAGAAAAACTCGGTAAAACGACGTTTTGTATTCTAAAGTAGTTTTTTCCATTCTGACACGATTCAAATATTTTTTTTTAAGTTAAACTAAAAAAAAAATCGCAATTGAAATAAAACTGAACAGGTACCTTTGTGGCCATTTTTAATAAAAAATTCCACCCTTACCGACATTTCCATTATAACAGAGTAGTTTTAGTTATTCTAACCGAGTATTTGCTTATGACAATTTCATACACAGGTAAGTTTATAATATTAATTTAATTTTTGCTCCTCGAAAGTTCTTGAGCTGCAAATAGACCCCTTGGGAAATTGTTTGTATTATTGTTACTTTTCTCTTACACTGGACTTATGTTTGGCCAGTAAATAGCATTTCTGCGAACATATACTTGAAGTTTTTTTAATAATGATTGATCAATAATTGATTAATGATGGTTAATAAATTAACCTGTGGGAAAGTATATATAATATAAAATACTTATCATACATGGCTTTAATAAAGATCCTAAAATTAGTTTTTTTCATGAGATAAACATTTTTTTATCAAGAAATTAAATAAAATAATAAATTAAGGTTTATACTATTTACTATCAATTATTTCTTTAATATCTTGAAAAAATTGCGAGATTAGCAAAAAACTAAAGGTTTTTAACTATAACTAGAGGCAATAAACAACCCTTTCACCCTAATAAGTACTCTTGTATAGACAATTTATCTTTACTAGGAAATCGTATAGAGCATAATGAAATACTCAATCTATTAGAAGTTGTATAATATAAGTTTATACGATTTATAAGAATGTATTTTTTACTGGACGGTTGCCTACCAAATTTTGAATAACAATTGGATGTTTATACTATGCGATTATACGAGACGCTTTAGGCCTTAGTAGTCCAGTATTATAAACTTTTTAAACACCGACCGTAAGTTGTCTGTTATCCGAAAGCGTTATCTGTTATTGCTATTGTTCGCGCAATGCTTTTGGCTGATTGGTTTTCTAGGTAGCTAAAGATCTTGCACGTTTTCGACAGCTAAATTCAACTTACACATAACGGTTTTTATCTCGAATATTACAGACGATGAAGTGCATCAATCATTTTTTGTTTCCTTTGTCGAATTTCCGAATAGTATACTTATCGAAGAACGAAGGGAAAAATAATTATCCAAAATTATATCCAAGTAAACGTTACCGAATTTTAGCTCTATAACAAATATACTTAGCACAATCATATTATTGAAAAAAATCAAAGGAGTTTAACAACTACTAAACATTTTAATCTATACAATTGATTATTTTTTTAGTAGAATTTAATCATTGAACTATTTAACAAACGTATAAAGGTTAGGTTTAATTTTATTAGCCCTAATAATGTTAATTATAACTTAAATAGTAATGTTAAGTAATTTTTAAGTATTGTTTTAAATACTTTTTTTAATGTATTTGAGTTTTTCTAATGGTTGAACATATTTTTATAATTACATTAATACAAATAAGTAAAGAGTATTCAATTAATTTTTTTTCTCATAATTTTCTGTCTATTATTAAAATAATTTGAATTAAAAACTCAATATTTTCAAGTTAAATTATTAAAAAAAGCTAACAGAATAAAATAATAATGAATTTTTTATAATTTTAAGTTTTTTTAAATTAAATTTTAATGAAAAAAATCAGCGCTATTACTGTTACTTTCTAAAATAAAGTTCTATAACGTTAGGTTCTATCAACTGTAACGATTTTTTTGCAAATTGTCAAATAGTATAAGATAAGGATTGATGGTAATTTTTTACTGTATTTTTCTATGATGTCTAAATAAACTTATTTTAATAAATGCTATATTTCGGTTGGTTATAGTGGGTGGCCATGAATGTTATCACGAACGAGTGTAATGAGGTTACTGGAAATAAAATTTGTTGTGCGACAAATATGAAAATTATTTTGAAATTGAATGAACATTGTTTATATTAGTTTTCCTAATTTTAATAGCTTACAATGTTTTTATATTCATTGGTGGTACGCATTTAAAACTTAATTCAATCATTGTGTCCATGTTTAAAACATTAATAATATATATGGAGTATTTAAATAAGAATTTATTTCATAAATTGTACATATTTTTATAATTCTTAACATTCTTAGTTGATAATTAAATTATAATTATTGTATAACAAGTATACAGATTGATGATTTATTTGACATTGGCCATGAGTTTTTTCCTAAAATAACAATAATGTTGTCTTTGTTGAAAAATGTTATTTTATAAATGATTAAATATTTTTTGATTCATTCTTTATCTCTTATAATAGTACCCACTTTTATAATATTTGGATATATTGCTAAAACGATCTAAATCATAAAACTTTTGTTTTTCACAAAAATATGTATAATATTTTTAGTTTCCAAAATTTTTTATTTACATTTTAGATCCATATTTTATGTGACGTGGTCGGTCAAATAGTCAATTGAAAACTTCAATAACTTAATAAAAACTTCAAACTGAGGAGCAAATATTTAGGATTATTAAATCATTTCCGTAATAATGCCATCTTATTAATTCATATAAATGGCTCTTTTGTAAACTTATTTCAAGTCATAATTAATTAAGAAAAATTTTCATGTTATTTGCTTAATAGATTTTAGTTTCAAAATAGTCTTACAGAGCTATATGATATATGGCTACGTACTTACAATATAAAACTTACAAGAATTGAATCTGACCTAATGGTATACTGAGTTTGAGAATCTATTTTAATGCAAACCCGATTTGCTCTATACAAATGTACACTACGACAAATCCTATTGTGACAGAGGTTTTCTTATTTTTTTATTTAAAGAAAAAAAACTTTGATAGAACACTATAGTGGATTTAAATAATGTACGTCGTATGATATCTTTACAGAAATCTTATGGTTGTAAAAATCTCATTCAATTCAGTATAAGCCCTCTGGTTAAATGAGTTCAATGGCTGCGAAAAAAAATATAAATCCACACAAACAAACGTTTTTAGATGAGTAATAGACTTTAAGATGATAAGCTATCGCCACGCCGTTGTTTTATTTATTTATCATTTTTGACATTTCGTGCAAAATGTACTTATTATACGCATTTCTATGACCATTTAAACAATTGAAATGTTTTAACGATTTTAATACTATAGGGATGAAAAATGGTGATGTCTTGATTTCGTTTAAATTTTGTTGTTAACATTTATATTTGTTTACTAACATAATATATATATAATAAGGGCCAAAATATGCTAAAACTATTTAACTTTGTCATCACAATTAATTAAACAAACGGGTAGAGTGATACAAAAAAATAAAAATTTTGGTTGATAAATATTGATATTGAGTTATGTTATTTGTTTATTTTCAGATGGATAAGCGTATGAAAGTTCCATGGAGACACGCAATAAAATTTGACCTAGATAGAATTAAATTTTCATTTTTTTAGATTGTATAACATATAGAAATATATTACGGAATTTTCGTGGAAAAATTTAGATTCATGTTTTGTGTATTTTCTCTTAATTACCCTTTTCTGTCGAATATTTGCTTCAATTTTAAGAGTAATAATACATTTATAAAAGTAAATTTATAGAATCAATTGTTTTTTCGCAGATAAATATCCAAAAGGTTCTTTTTATTTAAAGAAACGCTTTCTATAAATTTGTTTTACCCAATTAAATCAAATATCATGAATTTGCTGCTTGGTGTGTAATAATTCAATTGTGATGATCACTGCGGATTCATTATTGTCGACTGAGCCGACGTTCAATTTACTCGAAGGATTAAAAAGTAATAGCGACCAGGTCTCTTTTTCTCTTTCTCTATCAGATAACCTCACCAAAGACTTTTATCCTCTTTTATATGATACGGACCTCTCTGACAAAAGCGATATCCAAAGCTTTCTATCCTTACAAAATACTGATGTAAAAAGCGTTTACAGTATAAACAACAGCCGACAAAGCAATTACCCGCGATTCTGAAATATATATGTTGTAGCCTTTATATTTAATGTACCATAACATAATTATTATTACAGACCGTACAACAAAAGGCAAAAAAAAAAAAAAATGGAAGAAATAATAAAAATATTGTTTTTTTTTTTTTGCAATACCTTACGTCCTAATCGAAGTCATAGATATTATGATGTTGTTAAAAAATAAACAATAACGTTGAGAAAGGGTATTTTTTTCTAAAACAGGATACTTCAGCAAGCTGTCACTTTCATGGTCTTGGTTACATTTAGCTTTTAGGTAATACGCAACAGATGTGTTGGACAATAGTCCGCCGAGTTTTCAAAAATAACAAAACATGTATACTTTGGTCGCAAATAAATGTATTTTAAAACATTTCTATGTCTATTTTAGGAAAATTTTCTATGAATGAAATATTTGTCTTGTATTTCCTTCCACTTTGTTTGTAATGTAATAAAATCAAGATAGCCCTGGCCGTGAACATGGCATCGAGGGTTATTTGCACGACCGTTTGTTATGTCTGAGACAACTTTTGTTGGACACAAACTGATAAGAAGTAGTCAAACGACGCGACCAAAACCATGTCAACAGACATAGTGATGAATGCGTTATCGGAGAATTGTTCTTCTCTTAGTTTAACAATAGCATAGTGTTGTCGTGACTGAAATGTTTTACATAATGGAAAATTATTACATGTAACAAAGTAATTGACTTATCATTGACTATTAAATTTATCCTAAAATAATAATAATTTTAAAAACATTTGTTTGGCTTTTTTGAGTATTTATTTCTTGATTTTCGAGATGTTAAATATATTTTAGGTCCATACCTTATATCTACTTTTTATGCTTGTATCAATAAATAAATAGTATTTTTTATTAGTTTTCAATAAATAAATGTTTATGGCTAGGAGTTTAGATAAGAAATATTCCAATTTAAAATCCAAAAATGTGTTAATAGTGGTCATTAAAAATGAAAGATAAGAAAATTAAAACATAGAATATAATTTATTTTAATTCATAATTGGAAAGCGACAGAAAAAAAAACGGGAATAAAATCAGTCGGGGGAAACGTGATGTTGAAGAGAATTCGCTTATAAAACAGATTTTTCCCTCTGAGTGACAATGACGCGAATAGTTAATGAAACATAATTCTTATAAGAATTATCTTTCATTACACTATAGTGTATGCATTATGTAAATCACTTTGTAAAAATTCAAGCCACAGACTACTATTTAACCTAAAGCCTTATTTTTCCTTCTTACAATTAACGTTGTTTAAAACAAGAAAATAATCAGATAAAAAAAGCGATGAAATCATTATGGACAGCTATTTGGCTTTGATCAGCTTAAAATACATAAGTTGTTGTTGTTTTTAGCATTTTTAGCGATTCCTTTCAAAATACTGTTTTAATTATAACAAATTAATTCACGCTTTATCAAAACTTTTTAGTAAAAATCAAGTTTTATCTATTGGTGTATTTTTGTTAGGTTGATTGCAGTTTTATTAAGTACTACTCCTTGAAAGTCGTCAAATATATTTTTAAGTAAAATTTTCCTAAGTGGAATTTAAAATATATGGCTAATGGATTGGAACTTTTTGTAAAAATCATTAGTATTATAAATTTCTAAAGACAAGCTTTTATAGAACAAATCAATACATATCAACATAATATAGTAGATATAAGTATCATATATATTTATTAAATAATTTGCATTTAATAAAAAATAAAATATGTAAAATCGTTTTAATTTCGGATAAGTAAGTAAAAACATATATTTAAAGTTAGGTAAATTCTTTTATTATTTAAAAATTTTAAAGAAATCGTTCAATAAATCAAACCATTTAAGATATATTGTTTTAGTTTAAATTATAAAACTTTGGGTTTTAGCAACTTAAAAATTAATAGTAAAAAATTATTTTGTAATGATAATGGTAACAATACTATTAAAATATATATTTCGATTAATAAATGACTATCTCTATCCATGCAGCGGAATAATCATTAATGGCCACTAAATCCGAATCAAGGTTTGAAGAAAGCAACATAGCGTTTAGGCTGTTTGTCGTTGATAAAACAACTAAATCCGAATCCTATTAATAAAATCACATATTCATGCACCTGGGTTTCTATGAGTGCTTTCAAATCCAAGCTATGCACGTTATATGTACTTATATTGCCATTCAAAAGTAGAAAAATATAATCGATCGTTTAAAACATTTATATTAGAAGGTTTTTTTAAATTAAAACTTTGGTTGCGTTCAAAACTAGCGATAGGATAAAAAAAAAAAATCTGTGGCATAATATATTATTGTTATCTTGTACTACTACGTGTTGTGGTAATAATGTGTTTCCTAACACGCTATACAAGTTAAAGTATATATGAGATTTTGTAATGTCATGAAACTCTCAAATTTCATCATACAATTGGTATAGTTATGATGTTGAGGAATGAGCTAAGCACAATACCAAAAGAATACGCTATTGGATTTGTATACATTACATTTAGAATAAATAAATAAGCAGAGGTAGAAGTCTTCACGAAATGAAATTTACTTCAAAAATAAGTTGTCTGATTGTGCATTGAAAATAGAGACTTTTTACTTTAATAACCATAACAATATCGCTCTATATCTACAGTGCACTTTACTTACGTACTTACAGTGTAATAAGACAATAAAGTTAAGTTCATAAAGTATATAAAATAAACTTGTTGACAATAGGAACATGAATTGAATTAAACAAAATTATTTTATCATTTCTGTAGAAACGTGGGATTTATTAAAACATTAGAGTAAAATAAATTTAGTATTCTACACGCTTAAATTAAATACTGTTGCACAAACAAATGTTATTAAGACAGTCCTAATAATTAATACGAAATTTCATATTAATAAACAAATTGAATAAAATTTACATTATTGTTAAAGTGATCAAAATTAAATTATAATACCTATACGGATTGAACAATTTGTAGCTGAAAATAATTATCCAAGTCTCATGAAATCAGTTCATACTCTTGCTAATCTTACATTAAAAATTCATTTAAATGTTAATCAAAACATTATTAAAATTTTCTTTTAATGATCTTGGTATAATATTTAACTGGAAATTTGAATTTATAAACTTTTTGACACGAAGTTTTTTTATGGATTAATGTAAATTTATTTGCAATCAAATAAAAGCTTATAATAGGTCTTTGCTGACGGGTAAAACTTTTCATAATTTTAATTATTTAATAATTTATTAACAAACAATATTTTACTTAAAAGTTTTTGAACGTTGTCTTAAAAACTATAAATATAATTTTTTTCTAATAAAAAATGTGGTTTAAGAGTTTTTAACTTACATTTTATAATTATGGCGCCGTTAATAACAAGTAAAGTAAAAATAATCCCAATAGCGTTGTTCATATTAAATCCCAACTTCAATTTTGTTGGCAGCTTAACCTTCAAGTCTTGTTATATGACTATGGTTTCTATTCTTTTTAAATTCCATTTCCTTGTAATAAATCTGAAAAATAAACAAAAAATAATGATTTTATTATAATTATTTACACTGCTGACATTTTATTAATTATTTGTAATTAACTTTGTCGATAGAATTATTTTAAGTGTGTAATTTACGATAAAAATTAAAAATTATTTTTTGAAAAAAAGCAATAATTTTAATGTGATTTGCATCAGTTTTTTTTTTAGAAAATAAAAAAAAACGTTTTACTATTATGTAGTAAAACGATTGACTAAGATTAAATGAAAAACACTAATTGAAACTGAGTTAATATACTTATAAGAATTCTTTTTATTTAGATTAAGAATTTAATTCAATTATATATCTGCTTCATAGTTAGTAAAATAGTTAACTAATATTCTCTTACACTTATAAAGTATATAGTAAGTAGGGAGGATACTTAACAATGATAATATATATATAGACTTATGTAAGAACATTTATTACTATGTTAAAGAAGTCGGCTGTAATTATTTTTTAATTTTTTGTACAAAATTCTTTGACATAAACATAAACGTTAAAAAAGCCTATTGGGATAAGGAACCGTCGAAATAAATCAGTTACAGCATTTGTTAAAATAAACGAAGCGCATGACGTTTAACAGGAAAAGGGCTAAAAAACAATTTTAAGCTCAATGTTCCATTTTTCTTCTTTGTTTTATGTTCGATAATTTGTTTGACTTTAGAATGCAGGTGCTTAGTGAATTGAATGACTATTGAAGAAAACGACCACTTAGAAGTACAATAAAACAGTTCACAAGCGTTCATAATTTTTATCGAATCATATTTTAAATTTTACATGTCAAGAGGCATTTACCAATTTCAGCACTAGTACATTAGAAATATACTTCCAGTCAGAAGAACGTTATTCGTTCTTTTTAAAAGATTAACGGAATGTTCGTACTATATATGTTACTGTCACTGTATAAAAAAGCATACGAACTTAGCAATGATAATGCGAAATATATACTATATAGGATGCGGAATATGTAGTTTTTAATGAAAATATCATTTTTAGAGCAACGTTTGTCTATAAAATTAAATCAATTTCATAATTTATCGAGTCTGTGCTTTACAATAACGATAATTGCTATCATTATTATAAAATCATTCTTCATTAATATTCACTTGAATTACCAATATCAATAGCTTGTTTATAAAACCGATTTAAAAAACTATTTGCAATCCAAGTAGTATATTTATTTCGGTAAATCGTCGTTCGTTGCTTGTAAATGATCGTTTCTTAGTAAAGAAAAGAGCATATGAAATCGTACTTGTGATTGTGTACGGATGGAAATAACCATAACAGATTTCGTTCTGTCTCCAGTTTTACCGTGTATGTGATAAAAATCGTAATCTGCTGCTTTCAGACATCATATTTGTCGCGCGACCGAAGAATTGGAGCCCATTTGCTAGTACATTTGTTTTTAAGACGAACTTTTATGGTATGAATGTGTTTGTTTTAAAAAGAATTATTCAAAAATACGCTATATTTTTGTAGTGCTTGATTTGTTGTACCAAACGATATATTATCATAAAATCCTTTGGGATTATTTTTGCGTGTTTAATAGAACTTGACGTCACGTTTCGTATTAAAACGATATAATTAACTTATATGATAAATGTAAACGGTTTCAACGCCGAATTAGAGACTATAATTTATTCATTTAATTATTATAAATGATTATTACCTATTATGATATTGGTGGTCATATGATATGTCATATTTTAACGTTAATCTATTTATTCGTTAAATAACTTTTAAATATTATTCGTATTAAATATATTTATAAATTGAAAAGATGGGTACATAAATGTAATTCTTAAATTGGAAAATATAGAATTCAATTATATATATATATAAAAAGAACTAAATTAGATAACTAAAATGTAATTTAGATCATTGATTTTATTTTATTTTATTAATCGTTCGACTATTAAATTATCGTAAACCACAATAAAAAAACATTAATGTTCTTGTTTTTTTTAATGTTCACATTAATTTGCTGCATTACTTCTTTATTACATTAAACAATATATTCTTTATAAATAAGCATTTTCTTAGAAAAATGTGGTATGTTAGAGAGTTCTAAGAACAGCCGTATATATCAATGTGATTTAACAATACAACCCTTTGAGAGTTATTAGTTGTAATGGACCATTTTTTAAACGTACAAATTTGATTTTTATCAAAGATTACTTCTTATGATAGTGATATTTATTTTTTTACAAACAGACAAAAGCATACAATAGATTTTTTCATTAAGTAAAACAATTTGCAAAACTATATTCGGATGGTATAGTATGATATCTGTCCAGTTACACGGGACGTATTTATAAAAGTAATTTTTTTATAATTCTGCTTTTTTTGACGAACTAGTTATGAACCAGAAAGATAAATCAAAAAAATCATTGAACCAATGTCCTTTTGCAACTGTACGACTTGTTTATGAAATAATATTTGTCATTACGTTGTAGTATAATGTGTGCGCATTGTGTCTCCGTGTAGTAGACACTATTTGAGTAAGTTACACTTTAACCCGCATAAGTGTGTTCAGGAGGGGATTTTATTAAAAAAATGAACACTTCTGACTTTTAATTGAACGAAAATGTATGATCAAATGTACATTAGAAATGCGGCTTCTGTTGTTCCTCATAGCCGACTCTTAGTTTAGTTCAAAGTATAAAATGAAATGAATAAATTTTAAATTCGACTACAGCTATCACATCAAATGTTTGTTAATTGAGTAAAATTTACTCAATACTATTTACCCGTGTTTGTTTTCATACGATTAATAACACTGAGTTCATGTTTAATAAACACGATAAAAATATATTTTATCATTAATAGTGGCAGAAAATGTAGTTTTACCGTATTATGAATAAATGGCGTTTGGCATCGTTTTTGTCGGCCGAGAACGTATGAAATCGTCGCAGTCGAACGCCTTTGGAATGTAGACATCATACGGGTAGCAGAGATCATGGAGGTCAACAGGTCATTTGGGGATGGACAAAGGGGACATTAAGGGAAAAAACCCCGTTTCGTCCATTCTTGTTCTGGAATCCGTTTGGCTACCCGTTGCCGGATATCAGTGTAACACTTACCCTACCCGTCTCGCGCAGCCACCCGATTAATAATATTACTGCTCCGAGTAATAACAATTAATAATAGCAAAGGACGTCTAACGAGGTTTTCCTAAAGTGTATCATAAACAGTTAAGGCATACATGTACATAAAGTTTAAACGGTGTGCGGGTCTCTCGCGACATTGTGGTCGTACGGCCGGTCATCCCTCTGATATATCACGCACAATACGGTTGGACTTACCGTCATGCTCCATTATTATATCAGCGGCTATGTGTGTTTAACTGCTGTATGCACACGCACTCCATGCCAAATATTGTCAACCGCCTGATGATATATTACGTGCATCCCAATGGCATGTCTAGAAATATCATTTCAGCCGGCTATTTAAAGACGAATTGTACTGTAAACGATTTTTCCACTAATTAATTTCATACGCAACTGCTTCCACACGGGCTGACTATCATTTTCGCCAACATTTTTATAAATTGGCGTAAACACTCTATAAAAACAGTTTTTCTGGAGCTTCGAAAATTTAACGATGTTGCGTAATCTACATGACACATAGTTCGTACAATTAGGAATTTGTTGTCATCGAGCAAAACAACTGGATAAAGCTTCTATTTTTTCCCATCGTCCAAAAAAATGTTGTTAATAAAGAATACGAGTTGCCTATTAGTGAATTACATGTTTTAGTTAATTTTTAATAAATTGAAATATTTCTTTATATTGAATTATTATTTTTTTTTTTTATCACAGTTACCGGCTTTAGGAGTCCGTTTAAACTTCTCGAACCGCCTTTCTACCTAATCAGTAGTTTTATTTATAAATTAATAATGTTTTCTAACAGGGAACGACAAGCTTATATTTAGTTATGTTAACCAACTTTGGTAAATAATTGACAAGTAGCAAGGTTGTTCTAAGTTTATAGTTCGTCGTTCTATTAAGTAAAAACATTTTAATTATAGTTTTAAGAAAATCGAAATGTGGTCATTAAAACTTTTAAAATGCTACCTCAGTCATAACACATAATCTATTAAATTCATTTGCTTACACAATTTTGTAAAATAATTTAAAACGATGGAAGTAAAAATATTTTCAAACGTTCACTGATTATTATCAACAAATATACTATGAAAAAACAATTTAAATGAATATTTATTTACATTTTTATCAGCGTCCAATATTTAAAACACTTTTTTCAACGAGTAAACAAAATTGCGTTATGCTTTTGATCATCTGGAATGTGAACTAATTTTTTTAAATAGATTCCTAATTATTAATATTAAAGTGTTCGGAACGTTCCTGTACGTGTAATAAACAGTTCCACTTTAAAATACCTTTACGCATCACAAGTTTTTAATAATTTATAATCAAATAACCTACCGACAGTTTAGTCAATGAAAATATTTATTACGTACTTATTGATCGTTTGCAGATAAAAAATATATTTGTTTGCATAAAATGTGTTGTTTTTCTGTTGAGATTTAACAAAAATTATTAATATTAACTTATTATAAATGAGCTCTGACAATTTTATTTTATTTTTTAACAAGTTTTATTATTTCATTCCTCTACAAAAGTTAGCCTACTAAACATATTTTAGAAATTGTTTTTAATGTTATTTTAGTCACTAATGATATTTTATGGTCGGTATTTCAGCTAAATTTTTACAGTATTTATGTGTATATGTATTTATGTATTCAAAAATTATATTATTGAAATAAAACTGAATTAAAAAATAAAATGTTGCTCATACTTGTAATTTCAATAAAAACTTGTTTCACGAGTCAATTTGATAACAGTGTAGTATGAATATATTATTAATGTAAACAAACGCAGGTTAAATTATGGACTTTTTAATAAAAAAAAAAAAGATGAACAAATTTAAATAACTTTTCAATATTACTGTTGACATAC